GCTCCACAGTCTCCTCAGTCAATGGCAGCAGACCTAAGCAAGTCCAAACTACACAAGCGCTCCAAAAATTCATCATTATGCTGTCAGAACCCCATTGCTATTTTTTCCCCATTCAGGAAACAAGCATGACCTTCACCTCACAGTCATGACTTAGCAAACCCGATGGAATATACAGTCTTATGAAGGCAGCTGTATCTTTCCATTTGCCATGAATCTGGTGAAAGGATCCCCCGGAACATGCAAAGTGGAACCTCCGCTTTTTCCAGACGTTTACCTTTAAATGCATCAGTCACTGCAACCCCAATGCCCCTCTGATTAAACCCCATGTGTTAAACACAAAGCCTGTGGGCCAGATCAGGCCTGCGACACAATCCTATCCGGCCCGCAAAAGTATTTTAATTTTCTATTAATATTAGCCTGCTTCACAATGCGTTGCACTACAGTCCCCAGCATGCACTGCAACAGAATGTAGCTGACTCTCCTACCTCAGTAACAATACCTCGCTGTTTATCTCCAAAATGGTCACTTTACAGGAGAAGGAAAAAACACACTTTACTTTTAATGTAAGTCAATGGAGCCAGACTTTTTTCCAAGTCATTTTGGGTCGTTTCGTTTTGGTCCATTCATCATGAAATTTACACACAATGTAAAAGACACCAGTTATTTTCAAATTAGGTCAAAAACTGAAAAATGTTAAAATGGAGATTTTTGGAGGTTTTCTTCTGACAACAGCGATATGGGACAGTGGTTATACATCAATACACAATCTGAGTAATTGCACACCAGTCATATCACCAAATGCAGTAGCTGCATTTCAGCTGCAGTCCAACCAATATAAACTAAAATGAACTATAAACACTCAGAAATTGAAATACTCAGTGTATTAATGAACTTGCAGCAAAGGAAGGATGGCAGGTGTCTAGTTCAGGCATATAGGTAGGTTTAAAAGACTGAGCTTCTGAGGACGTTTAAATATTGACTACTTCAAGTATTCATGTAATATTTCAAGGTCTGGCATAACATCATGACCACCTCCTTGTTTCTATGCTCACTGTCCATTTTATCAGCTCCACTTACTATATAGGTGCACTTTGTAGTTCTACAGTTACAGACTGTAGTCCATCTGTTTCTCTGCATACTTTGTTAGCCCCCTTTTACCCTGTTCTTCAGTGCTCAGGAGAGCAGGTACTGTTTGGGTGGTGGATCATTCTCAGCACTGCAGTAACACTGACGTGGTGGTGGTGTGTTAGTGTGTGTTGCGCTGGTCTGAGTGGATCAGACACAGCAGTGCTGCTGGAGTTTTTAAACACCTCAGTGTCACTGCTGGACTGAGAATAGTCCACCAACCAAAAACAGCCAACAGTGTCCTGTGGGCAGCGTCCTGTGACCACTGATGAAGGACTAGAGGATGACCAACACAAACTGTGCAGCAGCAGATGAACCATCGTCTCTGACTTTACATCTACAAGGTGGACTGACAAGGTAGGAGTGTCTGATAGAGTGGACAGTGAGTGGACACAGTGTTTAAAACTTCAGCAGTACTGCTGTGTCTGATCCACTCGTACCAGCACAACACACACTAACACACCACCACCACGTCAGTGTTACTGCAGTGCTGAGAATGATTCACCACCCAAATAGTACCTGCTCTGTGAGGGTCCATGGGGGTCCTGACCACTGAAGAACAGGGTAAAAGGGGGCTAACGAAGTATGCAGAGAAACAGATGGACTACAGTCTGTTGAGATTTTTTAATTTGACCCCTTTAGTGGTTGAGTTTGACACCCCAGGATTAAACATTCGTCAAGGGGGCAGCTGCTCTGCCAAGGTCAGCAGGTGGGCCCATACAGAGGGGAGCTCTGGGACTCCAGTTTTCCCCAAAGCAATCTCAGGAAGTCAGTGGCAGGATTTGGGAACAAGATCAAACCCGGCCGATAAAGTGAAGTTCTTCCACTTCAGCGTTTGAGTAGCCGGGTCTGGGAAGGAAAGAGTAAGTATGCGTGCTTAATTTCCTTCCTGTCAGGATTCGGGGCGTCCGAATGCTAGAGGAGCGGAGGAAGAGTCTCCGAGGACATGAGTGATGACTCCGTAGAATTTGAGAAGATGGAGGCACTGGGGCTGTGGGTGGAGAAGAGAACAGAGCTTTTGCTTTCTGGCATGTTCATCATCTTCCCCACATGTCTGTTCAATCAGGCAGCGTCCAACAGGCCCAGGATTCAGGAGATAAGGCTCTGTGACAGCTCCCATACTGCAGCCTGTTTCAGCACAGTTAAGAGCCCATCCATTATTGTGCTACGCTGTCTTAACACATTCGAGCTCAGAAAGGTATGACATGCTCCACAAACTACTGTACTATCATGATTTACAGTTGTTAACATTGCATAGTCAAAACATTCTCCTTAAATTGAGTACTATGGTTTTGCCAAGAAATCTCCGGCCCAGAACATCTTAATTCTGTTCTCAGCTTCACTGCACATGATGACCCTAAGCACTGGTCCAAAATGACCATTTCAGCTTTAGTATGCAAGAGAAACAAGTCATTTTGATTTACTTTGTATGCATTCATAAGAACTCAGTTAGAAAAAAAATGTAGACACCATAACTTTGTTCTAAAGCCGCTGTTGGCATTTACAGCTTTGAGGCGTCTACAGTAAGAAGTAATTTGCTTTTTGCAGTGCTGGGGTTCAGTTTTGGCCCATTCTTCTTGGCAAACTGTCTTAATGTCCCCCAAGTTCCCTCTGATGGACTTGCAATTTCAAAATACTCCATAAACCTTCGATGTGATTCAAGTCAGGACCTCTGTAAGCACCTCTTTTTTCAGAAACCAGCCAGTTGTCTTGGCTGTAAGTTCGGGATTGTTGTCATTTTGAAATGTCAGACTTCTGCCCAGATCAATGTTCTCGGCTGATGAGATTAAACTCTTCTCTAATACTTCCTGGTGCATCGCTCTATTCATGTTTCCTTTGATTGTGTGTACTCCAGTACGAAATGCAGAGAAGCAGCCCACCCATGTCATGATGCTCCCACCCTCATACTTCACTGTGGGAATCGTGTTCTTACATGAAACCCTTCTATCTCCAAACATGATGAGCTGAATTATTGCCAGACTTCTGTTTTTGTTTCTTCTGACCAGTGTCAGAACTTTAGAGCAAACTTCAGACGTGCATCTCTGTGCTTCTTTTTGATGAGAGGAGTTTAGCGCCGGTTGTAGGAACAGAGATGATCGCAGTGCAGTTCATTGCTTATTGTTTCCTGAGTAACTGTTGCTCTTGCTGCTTTCAGGTCATCCTGCAACTCTTTCAAGTGACTGCTGGCTTCTGTCTTACCTTCCTCATCAGTGATATGAGAGTGTGCAGTGATATCTTGCATCTGTTTGAGGACGATTAGTTGCGGTTCTTTAACTTTCCGCTTGCATGTTATTGAACCAGTTGTCCTGACACAGATGTCTAAGGTCTTTGTTAGGGCTCTGTAGCTTTTACCATTCCAGTGTTGTACAGTAATACTGTCTCTGAGAAATTTAGGAAATTCTTCACCTTCATCAGTATTGTTGCATGAAATCTTCCCAACAAATAGCAGTGTCTTTTACAATGATTCCAGGTGCAAAATGGACGATAATGTTTTTATTTTGCAGCATTGATATACATACAAACATACATCTAAACCGCTTATCCTTCTGGGTCGCGGTGGGGTGCTGGAGCCTATCCCAGCTGTCATTGGGCGGAAGGCAGGATACACCCTGGACAGGTCGCCAGTCCATCGCAGGGCAGACAGACAGACATACACATTCACACCTAGGGGCAATTCAGCATGTCCAATCAGGCTGACTGCATGTTTTTGGACTGTGGGAGGAAACCGGAGTACCCGGAGGAAACCCACGCAGACACGGGGAGAACAGGCAAACTCCACACAGAAATGACCCCGGACACCCGGCCGGGAAACGAACCCAGGCCCTTCTTGCTGTGAGGCGACAGCGCTACCCACTGCGCCACTGTGCCACGTGCCACCCTTAGCATCGATATATATGTCTTTATTTATTTTTATTGTTAACCTTTTTTTCTTTCAAATTTAACTTTTTTTCCAATTTTAACATGAATCTCAGAATTGCTTAGTATTTGATATTTCTTCTTTTGCTTTAATGACAATGTGCACTCAAGCAGACAGACTCCACGAGTTTGTGCAAAAGCCTCTGATGAGTAGCTCAAATCCTCCTGGGAGTCGTCTGAACATGAGCTACAAAGGAAGAGATTAAAAAAAATGAACTTTTTGTACACAAGTTAAAGTAATACCGGCTAAAGATAGGAACACATACCCAGCATTTGTCTTTGTACATAGTTTAAATAAAACCTCTGCTCAAGAAAAAGTTACTGCATTAGAGGCAAACTGTGTACGTCAATGCTCTGTGCCTGAAATAGCATGGATTGTGTCTGTTATCTAAGAAAAGAGAACTTGAATATGAAAAATGAATCTAGTGAAATTTAAGAGCAAACAGGCTGCAATGTGCTTAACCCCTTCAAATCTCAGGCTTATTATTCAGTAACTACAGGGACTTCAATGCAAACTGGCTGAGCTATTCTTACATTATAGAAATGAGTAATAAAACTTCAGGCTTGCTGGTGGGCCCTGGCCATTTAAGGGGTTAATAAAACTGGACTCGGTATCTGAAAGTATGCCCCTTATCTAATCTCACGTATCATTCCAGAAACCCTCTTGCACCGTTCATCGCCTCTGCAGGCATAACTAATCCAGATCCCTACAGCTCAGACAGATGTTGCCAGCGTTACTATTATTTTCCTTTTACTTTTACAAAATGTAGTCTGATTCTCTTTTGCTATTTTTCATGAAGCTTTGCTTATCTGCATGTGTTTCCACCCCTTGGTAATTGAAAGTGGCTACACGCCAGTGGGGGAGAGAGAGAGAGAGAGAGAGAGAGAGAGAGACACACGGGGAGAGAGAGAGAGAGAGAGAGAGAGAGAGAGAGAGAGAGAGAGAGAGAGACAGGGAGAGAGAGAGAGAGAGAGAGTTAGTTGGAAAGTAGATGGAGAGGGCAGGCCCATTCACTGGAGGAACATCTGTGACTCTGCAGCCTCCCGAAACCCACCTCCTCTAGTCTAGTGCTCTGCAAAACCCTGGCCATGGAACACCTATGAGGGTGTAAGGGGGGCTTCATTCAGCAGGATCTCCACACATACTGAGATCTGGTAAATCTTTCTCTTTTCTCTTCTCATTCATCTCTGCATGTTCTCTTTGGTCTGGCCTCGTCCGGGTTTTCTATCATTTGCACTTTTTCTTTGTAAAATTCTGGCTGCAGCTGCGAAAATCAGCAAGATTGAGATGCTGTCTGGTTCTGCGGCCGCTATCATTGATGAGCTTATGAGAAGCAACGGCTTGTTTGGGGAAAAGTCATCTGGAACTTCTTGAGATCTGTTTTTATTTGACAAGCTGTAAGTGCAGTGTTCTGCTGAGACGTGGTACCTTCTGAGAACGCTTGCACTGGAACACGTGAGCAAATGAAGCATGCCTAGATCCTTAAATGTTCTGCGTTTCGTTTTAATGTCTTTGCAGATCATTGAACGTGCAGGTTTTCACAGCCTGACAGCCTCCTCAGAGGCAGCATACTGAAGATATTAGGAACAGTTATCAGTCCCTTGTTTGTGCCACTGTCACATACGAGGAATGAATGGAATGATTTAACTGGTGCTTTGGCGCGGCGCTCCACTCATAAAGAAAGCTCTTTTTTTTTTTTAACCAAAGAGAAAAGCTCTGTGTTACTCCTACAAGATGTTTCCTCGGGCTCTTCTGAGAGTGGTCGCTTTAAAAGGCAAGGAAAGGGGTGGGTGAGGCGTGCTAATCGGAAAGGGGGATCCCCGACGTGGAGAGAATGCTGCTCTCCAGGCTGTGCATGATGTGGAGAACAGTGGAAACCCCCTGGACGGCTACAATGGTTCGGTCCTCAGTAAAAATGCTGGGTTTACGGTTTTGATTATTTGAAATCGATTCAGTGGGCTCTCTGATATAATGCTTTGGCTCTTCCTTCGTGCCTGAGGAACTTGGCTGTTTGTTTTTCCCTTATGTTGTTGGCAAACTAAGTGAAAATGTTTAACAGCAGTTGAAAATATTAGATGTCTGCATTGCAAAGGCTTTGCTGAATGGGAATAAACGACAGAGCTGTCATGTAACGCCTACCAGGTAGAAAAATAACTCCGAACATTAGGAAATAGGAAACAGTCAGTACTGTGCAGAAGTCTTAGGCAATTAATCACATTATTTAAAGCCATTTATCTGGGCTGTAAGTGTGTTGTGCTTGTAAAATCACCATATAACCATAATAAATGCAAATAAATAAATACAGTAAAATGTTAAAAAGAGAAGTTGATATTTTGTGAGCTAGTTTGATGAACAAAGCTTGGTTCTTCTGGACATCACCAGTCATTGCAAAGATTTGTTTCCATCACCAGGACACTGATTTAATTGAATGAAGTACTGATTAGCAAAAACAGGTACTGGATGATAACTACAAATAGTACCATGGTTAAATGAACACATTGACACCGTAACATCAAGTTATTGTAGAAATTATTGGTGTTTTTCTGAGTAAATATATGCTTATTGACCAGATAAATAGCTTTTTCTGGTCAGTAAACACTCAAACCAATCAACCAATCAACCAATCAATCAATCAATCTATCTATCTATCTACATTTTCTGGTCAGTAATCACTTACACACACACACATACACACACACACATATGCAGTTAAAAATAAAAAAAAATTCTGGTAGGTATGTAGGTATATACATATATATATATATATATATGTGTGTGTGTGTGTATAAGTATAATCACTTACTCAACCCAATCAATCAATCTACTAATCTATCTATCTATCTATCTATCTGTCTGTCTGTCTGTCTGTCTGTACATATACACACACACCCACATATACACACACTCTTACATAACCGCATAATAACTCCAGCCAGTTTGCAAGTAGACATTACTGAATAATCTTAGGTTTAGGTTGTATTGAACTGGGATTTTCACGGGTTAACATGATGACATTACATTAAGGCTACGGAGCAGTTAACACTCTGAGTAATACCTCATCTGGAGAACAGGGAGGAATCAGCTGTTCAAAAAGGGTTTCCTGTCTCCCACATCTATTTGGACGAAACCCACTAGGCTGAAATAAATCTTAAACAAGTATCCCTGCAAACAAGATGAATTACTCACCACCAAATACCTCAGAGATTTCCATGTCATGTTTTGGATGAAACATGCTGAGGATACACTGGTGAGAATTTAAGGGTGCAGTTCTGCACTGTAGCCTAAGATATTTAAACATGACGCATTCCATCTACGTTACCGTTCCTCCGTCTACGTCGCGTTGACCCGAGGAAGGAACCGTAAAGTGTCTGGAGAGCCCCAATAACTTCAGAGGTCAATGAAAGGGTTATGGAGCAGAGAAACGCCATATGTCAGGAGGCACTGACCAGCAGACACAAAAGTACAGCAAGTTTTAGTGGAGTTTAGTTCAACATTCACACTTGCAACACAAGGCTTTAGTGTTGTCCACTAAGGAATGACTATTGTTGCATAACTGCAACGTCAAATCAAACTCTTTCTACTCTTTTCTGGACCACAGTTGCCTTCACTCTGTCATGAGTACATGTGTTTGGTCACTGTCCAGAAGTGGAATTTCACTGTCTGACACTGTAAATGGATTCCATGTGCGATTGGCAGAGAACTTGAAATATCCAGTTCTGAGGAAAAGCGAGTAGGAGGGTGCATGGCGACTGGGTCGTGCAAACAGTGGAGAGTTCCAGATTACTCCCCCCACGCTGGGATTTGGGAAAGCACTGGAGTGAGAGGCCAGCTCCGTCATGGCAGTGTAATTCTATGTAGATTCATGCTTCGATTTTGAGGTCAAAGAGCGGAAAACCCCATTTATATAACAGAGCAGTCAGCACATGGTGCATGCAGAAGAAGGTGCATGAGTTCGACCTCTGTTACAGGCAACCTCAGCTTTCAGTTGGCAGAGTTGGTCTCTAAACTCTAAGGCTGGCTTTGCATGGTGAAACTTGTTAGTTGCATGCAACAGAACTTGTGCAACTTGACAGTTACACAAAGCAATTCAAGAATAATGAAAGTTGCATGCAACATATTTGATTAATTCAAGTCATCTGCGGTTCATTATATACATTGCATCTCCATATTGCATTCATATACACATTTATACATATATATATATGCACATATACACACACGCTTTTGCTACATGCATGCATATATTTTTATATATGCACAAAAGTAGCATATACAAAAAAAGTATATATACACGCACATACATAAGTAAGTGTATGAGCTTATATATATATATATATTACATGGTGAATGCAACTAGATGCATAGTTGCCTGCAACATAATTTCTATGTAACTGGACAGAGCAATTTAAAGCAATTCAAAGTTGCATGACAGTTTCACAGTGTAAAGCCAGCCTAACAAAGTCAATCAGGAGGATCTCAGTTCAATAGTCTAATAAAGCAGCTTCTGTTTTATTTTGTTTTTCATTCGAACCATTGAAATCAATAATTTGAAACATTTCCAAATGGCTTTACATTATGCAACTCAAGTGAAACTTTCTTGTAAGATTCAAGTAGCTAAAGTTTACAGAAGTTTCACAGTGTAAAGCCACCCTTCAAAAGAAAAAAGCTACAAGCGTTCTTTGAGTGATGCCACTTGATTCCCTAAAGAACCATGTCTGAAAAAGAGATCTGTAAGAGTGAAGAACCTTTTAAAGGTTTATGCAAATGTTCTACACCATTTTAACGGTCATTAAAATGTACTTATTGATTTAACATTTACATAAATGGTCGTCTAATAAACCTTTCAATGGACGGCCATCATGCAAAGAACCCTTTTTAGCACTTCTGTTACTAAGAGTGTAGCTTTGAAAGCAGCTCATCTTTGGCTGACCACAGCTTTAGTGATCAGCAGGCCAATAGCGCAAACCCGCTCTTTCTGAAATATCTGTTTCTGGTTTATTACTGTGTTTTTGTAATGTCTGCATTTCTGTCTTTCTGGAAACTGCAATAAAATACATGGTTTCCCAGAGAAGCCAGAGCGCCTTTGAAAATGCACTTCTGCTTGCATGTATGACGCAGCCAAACCATGTTCACTTTAGTAACCAGTACATCTGATAGATGGCACTGTAAATATTCGATCAACCATTCGATCAAACATAAATTGTTCAGCTGGCTTCAACCAGTCTCCACTGACTTCCTTTCTTTGTATGTCAGAGATATGCCTGATCATTAACAATCATGGCATGGACTCCATTAACCTCACAGCACCCTGTGCACCACAAACAGAATAGAACCATATTGCTTTGTCTCAAAAGCCTACGGGAAGAGCAAACAGCATGCTGTCCACCTAACAAGCCATCGTAAACACTGCTTTAACATCCACGAGATGTCGATTGTTTGAGGTCATCTAAGAAATGCATGTTTTGTCTTCATTTCTCTTTAGGTGCAAAAACTGGAGCTTGACACTTGAGGAACATGGGTTGCAAAACGAGATCCATGCATTTTGTCTTTTGGTGTCTGTACTCCATGCTCCTCCCCTTATTTTGCACAGCACAAGATGAGGACATGAGATTAAGTAAGGAGCTTCTCTCATCCCCATTACCATTGCATGTAGACTTCTGTTTCCGATAACCTCACCTAATTAATCATGTTAATTAATCAAGCAATTCAAATTGGGTAACACTTTACTGAAGGGCAGCATTCATAAGGCTACACAACACCTACATAAGCCTTTCATGAGAAATGACATACACCGATATAGACATTACATTATTATAAAGACTTATTCCAACAAGTGTCAGTTGACAAAACACTTGTGTTACATGAAAATGGATGGAAACTTTTACTGGAGGGCAGAGTCTATAAGGCTACAAAACATCTACTTAAGCCTTCCATGACAAATAACACATACCTTTATAGACATTATTTTATTATTAAGGCTTATTCCAGCAAGTGTCAGTTGTCAAAACACTTGCTAAAGTGAAATGACATAAAATGGACAAAAAGCAGCCGTTATTATGCTTGTTAGAATAACACTTTGCTGAAGGGCAGCGTTTATAAGGCTACACAACACCTACATAAGCCTTTCACGAAAAATGACACACAAATGTAGACATTATATTATTATAAAGACTTATTCCAACAAGTGTCAGCATTTATTATACTTGTTGGAATAACAAATTAGTTAACTTTTACTGGAAGGCAGCGTCCATAAGGCTACAGGACACCTGCATAAGCCATGACAAAAAACATATACCTATATAGACATTATAAAGGCCTATTCCAGCAAGTGTCAGTTGTCAAAACACTTGCTAAAGTGAAATGACAAAAATGGACAAAAAGCAGCCTTCATTATGCTAGTTGGAATAGAAAATTTGGCAACACTTTACTCAAAGGCAGCGTTCATAAGGCTACACAACACCTACCTAAGCCTTTCATGACAAATGACAGACAAATGTAGACATTATATTATTATAAAGACTTATTCCGACTTAAGCGTCAGTGGTCAAACCACTTACCAAAGTGAAATTACGTGGAAATGGATGAAAACAGCCTTTATCATACTTGTTGGAATAACGAATTTGTTAACATTTACTGTAGGGCAGTGTTCATAAGGCTAGAAGACATCTACTTAAGCCTTCTATGACAAATGACGTACCTAGATGGGCATTTTAAAGTCTTATTCCAGTAAGTGTCACTTGCTGGAATAAGCAACTTGTTGTCAAAACACTTGCTAAAGTGAAATGACATAAAAATGGACAAAAAGCAGCCTTTATTATGTTTGTTGGCATAACAAATTTGGTAACACTTTACTGAAGGGCAGCATTCATAAGGCTACACAACACCTACATAAGCCTTCCACGACAAATGACATACATCGATATAGACATTATATTACTATAAAGACTTATTCCAATAACTGTTCAACAACAGCTGTTCCAACAACATCGTAAGGCTACATAAAACCTATTTAAGCCTTTCATTACAACTGACATGTCATTACCACAGCATGTAGATTTCTGTTCCTGATAACAACACCTACTAAACCATGTTCATTAATCTAGTAATTCAAATTCTTTAGCACGTTACTAAAGGGCAGAGTTCATAAGGTTAGGTGACATCTACAAAAGCCTTTCATGACAAATGACATAAACCAACAGACATCTATAAAGGCTTATTCCAACAAGTGTCAGTCATCAAAAAGCTGAGGTGAAATGACATAAAAATGGACAGAATGACGCTTTAAGGCACTTGTTGGAATAACATATTCAGTAACACTTTAGGGCAGGACGAAGTTTGTATGACACCTACATAAGCCTTTCATGACAACTGACATAAACCTACACCAACTCCTATAAAAGCTTATGAGCATCAAAAGGCTGCTTTTGTCCATGTTTTTGACATCCCAACGTTATGTTTTGTTTCTATAAAGAAGCCTTTATAAAAGTTTATGTAGGTTTATGTCAGTTGTCATGAAAGGCTTATATCGTTAACTATAACTTTTTTTTTTTTTACTTTTTTGTGCATAATTTGAAAACTCCAATTACCCTTTACATTGTGCTTAAATTTCAGCTGATGGATAGAAACAGTTCAAACTGACATAGAATAAAATCTTGCTACATTAACTTCCACTACAATTCCAAAAAGTTACCATTTTGGAGATTGGAGGTTTTGTAGGTGTCATGTAGCCTTATGAATGCTGCTCTTCAGGAAAGTGGTACCAAATTTGTGATTCCAACAAGCAGCTTTTGCCGTGCAGCAAGCGTTTTGACAGCTCACTTGTTGGAATAAGCCTTTAAAACGTCTACAGATTTATGTCATTTGTCACAAAATGCTGCCCTCCAGTAAAGTTTTACCTCCAATTTAATATTGTTCTTAAATTCAGTGTCTCTGTACTCATCAAAACACGATGGGAACATCACCCGCCTGCTTCGCTCCTTTTCCAGGTTGCAGAACAGCACCGAGTGACCTAGTATTTATACTGGACGGCTCGTGGAGCGTGGACGACACAAATTTCGAGATAGTTAAACGGTGGCTAGTGAACATCACAACAAGCTTCAATATCGGTCAGAAGTTCACCCAGATTGGGGTGGTCCAGTACAGTGATGACCCTGTCCTACATGTACCACTGGGACAGCATCACTTAACCGGTGACCTCATCAGATCTATGGAGTCCATAGAATACATGGGTGGCAACACAAACACAGGGAAAGCCATTAAATTTGCCAACGACAAGCTGTTTGCCCTGTCTGAGCGCGGCCCCAACGGCGTCGCAAAGATTGCTGTGGTTCTGACGGACGGGAAGTCACAAGATGCCGTGCTGGAAGCTGCAGAGGCCGCGAGGAAAAAAGGGATAATCCTCTTTGCGATTGGAGTCGGGTCTGAGACGGAGGACATGGAGTTGAGGGCTATTGCCAACAAGCCGTCCTCGACCTACGTCTTCTACGTGGAAGACTATAAAGCTATCTCCAAGATCCGTGAAGTCATTCGACAGAAGCTGTGTGAAGGTAATTCCCTTGCAAAAACAAAGTCTGCTTAAAGTTAATTTGTTAAGTAAACTAATGATGAAGTATATCCCCCAAGTATACTTTATGTAGTAAGTATACTAATATCACTGTACTAGTACTATACCAATAAGTGTACTATTTCAATACTTCTTAGGACTAAATTGTCCCAATTTAGTAATTTAAATATATTTTAGATGTAACAGTTGTAAACTTTGAGCACACAACTAGTTTTTATCTATGTTTTAGGCCCAGTCCCATTTCTTCTTTTTACCCCTACCCCTTGTTTTCAAGTGTCATCTTGCCCCTTGGAACTGAGTTACAGGGTAGTGGTTGAAATCTTCCCTCTGAAATGGGACCCTCAAACAAAAAGAGCATCACTTCATTAACAGCTACCAGCGCTGCTCTGTAGGCGACCCTGCCAGTCTGCAGTGACAGCAGAGGAGGGTAAAGTTCAGCTCCTCACTGCTGGGCTTTAGTTACATTTAGGGCATCATATGCCTTCAAAGAGGGGGGCAATTATTTATTATCACCCACCCCTAATTCTACAGTGATATGAAGTCAGCTATCCCAGCTTCTTGTTTGAATTTTCCAGTTCCACCTTAAATGATTAGCTCCCGAGACATCAGCATACTCCTAGCGACTTTATATGCTTGTTATAACAAAAAGGACCATAATACATTAAAACAACTTTACACTAAGGCAATACAGTGGTTATCGTAATTTTTAATGGAGAAAATACATTTGTGGGTTTCTTTGGTCTCTTGTTCAGCCATCTCGACGATTTTTCTTTTTTTCTCATATCTCTCTGTTTGGAGTCTCTGAAAAACCTCCGTTTGGAGGGACCATGTAGCCCTAACACTTTTCCCTACCCCTCTATCTCAACAAAAATCGAAACACCTTACCCCCAGACATGAATGTGCAAAACGGAGGGGTAAGGGCTAAGTGGTAGGGGCAAAGGGTGAAATGGAATTGGGCCTTATTTTGTACCGCAGCTTCACTGTGAACTACACTATAATATATTTTTAGTTTAACTTATGTAATACTCGTCCACTTTTTAGTTTATAAAAGCACATCTTTTAAGTATTTTTTAGGTGAAAGAGTTGTAAACTTTAAATGCACAACTACTTTACATCAAAGTTTTACTTTGTACTGAAACTTTACTGTGAACTACGCTATAAGTAAACTTATAGGGTATACTTTTAGTTTACTAGTCATATACTTTTATCCCACTTCTTACTTTATGAAAGTACTCTTTATAAAGTATAATTACAAGTACAGGCCACAAATACATATAATTACCAATATACATATACAGGAGTACAAGTATAGGCCAAATATACTTAAGCGTCTTTGTATGCTTGTCAGTTTAACCCCAAGTATACTTCAGCATACTTTTGTTTAGTATATCTCTGATATGTACATTAAAAGTAAACTAAAATCATACTCACTTAATTTTTAGCTTTAAAGAAGTATACTAATAGCACACTTGAATAAACTTCTTTGTTGTAAGGGGAGATTTCTCCTGGTGACCATATTTAATGTTTTTTTTTGGTCATGTTTTGCTATGTGCTTGAACTCGGTACTGTTTTCTGTACATATCGATATTAAATTATGATGTTTTATGCCGCTCAGTCTTCAGAGAGGAAGAGCGTTTGTTGCTTCTCTGCCGTCTACTAGCAGTGACAGATTTATACCGCTTCCCAGAATGAGCTGTACGCTTAATTATGTGCATTTCACAGCACTTGATTTACATTCTAGAGAACTCAGGTGTTCTCTGTCCACCTGGCTGGTAGTAAATTAAAGTGTGAAATGAGGGATATGTTCCACACCACATGCTGAAAGTGTTCAATATATGACTCTTTATGCTGTATCTGAAACTGCCAGTACATGTTCATATATGTACCATGCATGACACAGGCAAGCAGGAATGTTAGAATTCCTTCTGCCCACGACTTTCTCACCAGTCCAGGCCTGGCGTTCCAGTCACGCTGTATCAGATTAAGGGTACCACTTTACTAAGGGGCAGCATTAGTAAAGCTACATGACAACTAAGGAAACCACATAAGTCATGAGTAGATAGCTGTCTTATGTATGGCAACTGATATAAATCTACATAAATGTTTATAAAGGATTATGGTGACACTTTATTTTGAGTGGTCCTTTTTAAACGAAACACTCAATGGGCTCTCAGTAACGTCGAAAATATGAGGGTTAGGATTAGGTTTTAGGTTGAGGTTAAGGTTAAGGTAGGATTAGGGCCAGGGTGAGGGTTAGGATTAGGTTTTAGTTTGAGGTTAAGGTCAGGGTTAGGGTTAGGGCCAGGGTGAGGGTTAGGATTAGGTTTTGGGTTGAGGTAAGGTTAGGATTAGGGCCAGGGTTAGGGTAAGGATTAGGTTTTAGGTTGAGGGTAAGGTTAAGGTAGGATTAGGGCCAGGGTGAGGGTTAGGATTAGGTTTTAGGTTGAGGTTAAGGTTAAGGTAGGATTGAGGCCAGGGTGAGGGTTAGGATTAGGTTTTGGGTTGAGGTTAAGATTAGGGTTAGGATTAGGTTTTGGTTTGAGGTTAAGGTTAGGGTTAGGATTAAGGCCAGGGTGAGGGCTAGGGTTGGGTTTTGGGTTGAGGTCAGGGTTAGGATTAGGGCCAGGGTGAGGGTTAGGATTAGGTTTTGGGTTGAGGTTAAAGTTAGGATTGGGTTTTGGGTTGAGGTCAGGGTTAGGATTAGGGCCAGGATTAGGGTTAGGATTAGGTTTTGGGTTGAGGTTAAGGTTAGGGTTAGGATTAAGGCCAGGGTGAGGGCTAGGGTTGGGTTTTGGGTTAAGGTTAGGGTTAGGATTAGGGCCAGGGTGAGGGTTAGGATTAGGTTTTGGGTTGAGTTAAGGTTAGGATTAGGGCCAGGGTGAGGGCTAGGGTTGGGTTTTGGGTTAAGGTTAGGGTTAGGATTAAGCCCAGGGTGAGGGTTAGGTGTTGTGTAAGATTGGGAAGGTTAGGTTCTGCATAATGGCAGTTACATATTAACAACACATCTATTTAATGTAAGTAATGTATCAACAGAACATCTACAAGATATTTACTTCAGTGTATTCAGATGCTTCACTACAGCTACTTCACTGATATGTTGATGTGTTACTGATAATCTGTTAAGAGTTTATTAATCATCTACAAAGAACCACTCCAAATAAAGTGTGACCAGGCTTATTCCAACAGTTGTCATAACGGTCCAACATTCCAACAGTTTCACCTCAGCAAGCGACGGTTGTTGAAATAAACCTTTGTAAATCTCTATAGGTGTTTGTCAGAGGTCACGAAAGGCTCATATAGGTGTCATGTAGCCTCATGAACATTCGCCTATAGTAAAGCGGTACCAGATGAAGTGTAAGTTCAGGTGCCTTGTATGAGGGAAGCTGTAATGAGATGTTGTTTTGCATTCATAAACTAACAAACAAACCCTGTATCTAAAAAACTGCAGCAGTAAAGTCATTAAAAAGTAAAACAAAGAAATCTAATAATGCCAGCAAACTAGTTATAGGGGAATAAGTGCAAGCTATACTACCAGTGTGATATAGTAGAAGCATTGTAATGGATTTGGGATTTTGTGGTAAAAACTGTGGTAAAAGGCTGAATATTCTGGGGGGAAACCCATTTCCCAAGGCAATTTTCTGATCCAATTCCAGACTACTCAGCAGCAGCTCTGAAAGGACTTGTTAAAGGGAAAAACAAAATCTGAAGAACAATACAGCTCTTAAGCTGGAAAGCCTGACCTCTATAAAACTTTGTGCAGACTCACAGAGCTTCAGAAAATGCATTGTGTAGCTTTTCTGGACATTGTCAGAGTTAATGATTGAGATATGCTTTGGAAGCGATGGTCACATCTTGTCTGCTTTTTTGCAACGGCTGGGATGTTCTTTAGACAGCCTGCATATTTGCAAAACGTCCAGGGTTCCACGCCAAGATCTTTTACTACAGATTCTTTACTTCAGTCCAAGGCCCAACGAAATGAAGTCCAGCATTCCTCGAATGTTTACCGTTTCCCAACAATTCCTCCTGGCAGGACAGGAAATATCATTCCAATATCAATGACAAATAAAAGCCAACTATGACTAAACAGATGAATAAAGTAGATTTGTCTGGAGGTGTGAAAAGCTAAGTAGTTAAGACGTAACAGGCAGAACATGATCTTATTTGTTCCCTCTAACATACCACAGAGACCGTGTGTCCAACAAAGATACCGATCGACTCTCGGGACGAGAAGGGATTTGACATCCTGCTGCACCTGAACTTGGCCAAAAAGACCCCAAAGACTCGAGGATCATATTATGGAACCAAAGCCTATCAAGTGACCTCCCGAGTTGATCTCAGTGAGAACACCAGGTACAGTTAGGAGACAATTATCTTCCACTCAGTTTACATACACAGATCAGGCACAGCATTATGACCACCTCCTTGTTTCTACGCTCATTGTCCATTTTATCAGCTCCACTTACTATATAGGTGCACTTTGTAGTTCTACAGTTACAGACTGTAGTCCATCTGTTTCTCTGATACTTTGTTAGCCCCCTTTTACCCTGTTCTTCAGTGGTCAGGACCCCCATGAACCCTCACAGAGCAGGTGCTATTTGGGTGGTGGATCATTCTCAGCACTGCAGTAACACTGACGTGGTGGTGGTGTGTTAGTGTGTGTTGCGCTGGTCTGAGTGGATCAGACACAGCAGTGCTGCTGGAGTTTTTAAACACTGTGTCCACTCACTGTCCACTCTATTAGACACTCCTACCTTGTCAGTCCACCTTGTAGATGTAAGGTCAGAGACGATAGCTCATCTGCTGCTGCACAGTTTGTGTTGGTCATCCTCTAGTCCTTCATCAGTGATCACAGGACGCTGCCCACAAGACGCTGTTGGCTGGATAATTTTGGTTGGTGGACTATTCTCAGTCCAGCAGTGACACTGAGGTGTTTAAAAACTCCAGCAGCACTGCTGTGTCTGATCCGCTCAGACCAGCGCAACACACACTAACACACCACCACCACGTCAGTGTTACTGCAGTACTGAGAATGATCCACCACCCAAATAGTCCCTGCTCTGTGAGGGTCCATAGGGGTCCTGACCACTGAAGAACAGGGTAAAAGGGGGCTAACAAAGTATCAGAGAAACAGATGGACTACAGTCTGTAACTGTAGAACTACAAAGTGCACCTATATAGTAAGTGGAGCTGATAAAATGGACAATGAGTGTAGAAACAAAGATGATCAGCCTGATCGGTGCATATTTTTCATCCATATTAAAACAGTCTTTTTACTTTAATATTTATAGGACTTTGTTTCCTGACGGGCTTCCACCATCTTACGTGTTTGTGGCCACACTTAAGTACAAGGGCTCCGTGCTGATGGAAGAGTGGGATCTGTGGCGGATACAGACGACGGAGGGGAAGCCTCAAATGGCGGTCACTCTAAATGGCTTAGACCGAACAGTCATGTTCACAACCACAAGCAATGATCCGAGTGGGATACAGACTGTGGTCTTCACTAAGCCACCAGCAAGGGTAAATATGCAACATTCCAACACAGCAACTCAATACAAATACACTAAACTAGCCTCAATCCACTACTTCAGCTAATGTTTCCTTTACGTAGCAACAAAATTTGCACCATTTAGGTGAATTTAGAGTAGACTTTTGAGGCCTATATTCCTAAACATGCAGTCAAAAAGAGTTGGTAACACATTCTATAAATACCATGTCCATAAGAACCTATGAACACATTGATAACATGACATAATGCATTCATAAGGCATCATAGACATGTAAGCTTTAAGGAAAATGAGGCATACTATAGACAAGGTAAGGCAAGTTCATTTATATAGCACCTTTCATAAACTGCTGTCACTTACAGTGCTTTATACTTTAATATCAAGCTTGTAACAATAGAGGAACCCTTTTTGGTGCTGTATAGAACTATTTCAAACAAGGTTCTACATAGAGCCATATACAACACATTCTCCATCAATCTGAGGAACCATTTTAACATGCAGAGACCCATTTAAGCATGCAAATGGTTCTTTGAGTGCTCACGGTTCTATATAGAAAGTAAAGTGTCTTTACTTAAGAACCCTTGAAGAGCTTTTTTTTAGTTTGTCAGCGTTAAGCTAATGGAGATCCACATTAACATTTTTTTAGCAGTTCTAGATTAAATACAGGCATTTGAAGCTTCTAAAATCATTATGTGATTTATCTCTAGCTTGTGACAGACATATTAGCGTATCACTGCGGTCAGAACAAAACCTCATACCTCCAAAATGGTGACTTTACAGGAGAAGGAAAAACGCTACTTTACTTTTAATGTAAGTCAATGGAACCAAATTTGTTCCCAGTCATTTTGGCCCGTTTCCTTCAGTCCATTCATTATGAAATTTACTCACAGTGTAAAGGGCGAAAGGCATTTTCAAATGATGCCAAAACCTGAAAAACGAGGAGAAATGGAGATACAAGGTTTTGTTCCGACAGCAGCGATATATTCTATCCAAATCTTAACAGTGAAACGAGAATAGCTCTCTAATACCTGCAGGAATACAATGATTCTACCAAATAAAAAAGTAACTAAAATTACAGATATGTATTTTTTAGTTCTCAGAAAGAATTCGGCCTTGTCTGAAGGCCAAGAAGGCCCTGAGGATTCACCTCTGATTAGATTATTTTAAAGCAGATTAGTCTTTGTGCTATTTTCTCTGATAGATCAGCACTGTAGTTTCTAACTATATTCCCAAAGCCTAAGGAATTAGGTGGTCTGAAATGATAACATATAGATCCTATACATTTAGTAGAATTAAAACCGGGCCATTCAGGCGCACACTACAGAATTCTAAATGAATGGTGAATGCCTGACGTGGTTTAGGAAAACAGGATTTGACTACTGGAAAGAAGACTAAGCACAACTGTTTACATTGTGAGGGATTCTTTAATACAGAGAGTCTAATCTTCTCCACAGAGGGCCGGTGTGGCTGCAGGTTATCAGTCTGAACAAGCAGGAGCTCACATGATTCTACTTGCTCAATCAGTTAGTTTCAGTCTTCACAGAACTGATCATGAGATCTGCAGCCAGACCAGCCCACTGTGGACAAGACTGGACACCCCTGCTCTGCCAGATCCTACTGGGCTCTGGGTGATTCAGTAGTGTATGAAGAGCATTTTACTGTCGACCACACTTGGTAATGATGACCAGTCAGAAGACATAGCATGTAGTCTCTATTTTATGTACAGTGCTCAAACAGAACCAGCTGTAAAAAAAAAAAACATTCTTTGTTGATAATCCTTGATCTTTTATTGAAAATAAGAAAAAGTGTAACTTTTATTTGAAGTACAATGATTGAAAAAACCTGATTCTTATCACAAAATAAATATGTTTCTCAAATCTATGTGCTGCAGTTGTTGGTAGCCCTAGAAGTTCATTTGAGTGAAATCTAACTAAAACATATTCCCATTCATTTTTTTATACTTTAAAGCTCACCTGTGTTATGAGGAACACTTAACTGGTCAGCCACGACTTCTTGCTTAAATGGGATATCAATATGTGGTGACATGCAGGCTAAATGCCCTCAGTCATCCATCACTATGAGAAAGACCAGAGAAAACAGCAATGAGGTGCAACAAAAGGTTGTTGAGCTGCACAAATCAGGAAATGGCTACAAGAAAATAGCTAAACCATTTAAAAAGCCAACTTCCACTATCAGGTCAATCATTAAGAAGCTTAAAACAACTGGGGATGTTAAAAACCTGCTCTGAAGAGGACACATGTTTATATTGACCCCAAACACACTAAGGAGGATGGTTTGGGTGGACAAAGAATCTCCAAGGATCACAGATGGGGAATTGTAGACTTTAGTCAGGTCTCGTTATCAGAACATCTTCCAAACTACAATCAGACACCCTCTACATAACCACAAGCTGTTAGGGAGGGTTGCCCGACCATGTTTTATGGTCAGATGAGACCAAAATAGAGTTTTTTGGCAACACTAGAGGTGGTTTTGGAGTAGACATAAGGAGACATAAGGAGAGCCATGCAGAAAAAATACCTCATCCCCAGTGTGAAGTATGGGGGTGGATCTGTGATGTTTTAGGGCTGTTTTTCTTCCAAAAGTTCTGGAAAACTTGTTTGAATAAATGGTATCATGGACTCCATCAAGTTTCAGCAGCTATTAAGTCAAAAGCTGACTGTCTCAGCCAGGAAGCTTAAACTGGGCCATAGTTTGGATCTTCCAGCAGGGCAATGATCCAAAACACACCTCAAAATCAACACAAAAATGGTTCACTGACCACAGAATGAAGGCTGTGTCATGGTCACCCCAGCCCACGGACTTAAACCCCATAGAAAACCTGAAAGATGAGCTGAGAAGGAGAGCTTACAGTGTGAACCCCAGAACCTAAAGGATCTGGAGAGGTTCTGTATGGAGGAATGGGCTCAGATCACTTGCCATGTGTTCTTCAGTCTCATTAAGTGTTATAGAAGAAGCCTCAGTGTTGCGATCTTGGCAAAAGGATGGTGCGCAAAGTATTAAATGAAGGGGTGCCAGGATTTGTGCCACACAAAGATCTAAGAAAACATTTATTCCGTGATAAGATGGAATAAATCACTGAATAAATCTCCTTCAATCACGATATTTCTAATAACGGTCATATTTTCATGAATATTTTGAATGAAAAGTCAAAAGGATAAGCGAAAAAGGGGTGTCGATATTCGAGGAGGACACTGTATTTCTAAGGGTGCTACAGATTTACGGACTTTTGGTAAAACATAAAAATTTTCCAGCATCACAGCAAATTCACAATGCTGTTTATCTTTCCCCCCAATTTCCAACCCAAAAGGCCAATCAAACCACTGCAAGCAGAAGCAAAAATATCAGTGCTGTTAGTAACTAGGGCTTCCTCAATTCCCCAGAGCGTCATCAATTCCTTCATCTATAATTGTAGTTAAAATTCAAAGGTCCAATATTATAATTCAAAATTCGGCACAGCCAAACCACATTTTTAACAACTACTGACGTGTTTAGTTATTCCACTGTTCCACATCATGTCCTGATGTTTTATTGCTCGTCCATCCACAGAAACTTTTTGATGAACAGTGGCATCAGCTGCGTCTCCTGGTAACAGAGGAAGACGTCACTCTTTATGTTGATGACCTGGAAATTGAAACCTTGGCACTGGATCCTCCCATTGGCATTTTCATCAATGGAAAGACACAAGTTGGGAAATACGTCAGTAAAGAAACGACCGTTCCGGTAAGGACACCAACCATTTCTTTTTGTTCTGTGACTGTATTTCATACAACACCCACTCATAAACACAAAGCTCAAGGGCAGCATGTGTGGAAACACAAGACTGACCAAAGCAGCTGTGCCCATTAAGAGAAGGCAGACACTGCAATTGTGTTTTAGAAGTAATTCTAAATAGAGCAGACCAGAGTACAGGCTCAGCTTTTCCCTTAACATCATCATCTGTGAACTCTGACAGCAGTCAGATTCAGCCTGAAGATGTCCGAAAGGCTTTGTTGTTCAAGTTCAAGAAGATTTCACGTTATTTCAGCTACATAGTGAAACAAAACAACATTCCTCCAGGACCATGGTCTCACAATGGGAAACAAGTGCAAAACAATACTATGTACACAGTGCAGACAATACAGACAATAAATTACAACAAAAACAGAACACAGGCGGTACTGAGAACACGGTACTGAGAACACGGTACTGAGAACATGTAGAGTTGTGCAAAGCAGGATGTAACATACTACGACATGTGTCAGGCTCCAGTTCTCGTGGGCCATAACACTGCAGATTTCAGCTCATTTAAGCAACAGAACACAAGAGGGAGAGTGTTATTGCGAAATAACCTCACGTAGATCATCACAGCCGTGATGTTATTGGCGATAACACACTCCTCGAGTGTTCTACTGCTTTTATACAACAGTTAAATAAATAAAGTAATAAATTAATAAACTGGGCCGTGAACGCGGCGTTTAATATGTTTTAATGTTCGCAGTTCCTTCACCAAATTATAGTTCCTTAACAAGCAGCTTGTTGCTACGTCAGAGTAACGAGCTCCGCCCACTCGCTGCACAGCCGGCAGTTCATTCTCCAGCTCCTTACACTAAATTCCCAAACTGTCGTCACCACTGAGCAGCTTTTTGTTTTTTATTGCGGCAGTTTTATGGCTCAGTCTGATTTGGTCAGACTCTGAAGATCAGACTACACGTTTGGTGAATGGTATTGGGTTCATTTCTGGCTGATTCCAGGTTGTTCAGCTGTTCTTCTGTCACAGCTGCCGACTGAAAAGCTGCTCAGTGGTGATGACAGTTTGGGAATTTAGTGTCGTCTCATCTTCAGAGTCTGACCAAATCGGCTGTCGGTCAAATGTGATCTTAAAAGTGTCCATTTTCTGTTTGTGGCAAAGTAAGAAGTAAAAACGTTCAAATGGCTTGAGCGTCTCCTACAGCTGTCAAACTCGTTGCTTAGCAACGGCGTCTCAGCGGAGTGATACAGTGTTTGTGAAAAACCCGTGATGTTATGGTGAAATAATAGCACGGCTAGAACGCTTCTCAACCAATCAGCTTGCGTGGCCGGAACGAACTGTTGTATAGTGTCTCATTAAACACACCTGATTCAGCTCATCAGCCAATTAGCAAAGCCTTCATGAACTGAATTCAGAGCGTCAGATGAGGGTAAACACCGATCTCCGCAGGACTTTGGCCCGGAGGGTCCCCAGTTTGACATGCCTGTACTATCAAATATATATCCTAGCATATCTGAGCATAGCAGTTACTGAGGTAGCAACCAGAACTACGGCAACAGATTACAGTATTTGGTTGATACAGTATTCTAGCAGCTGATACTGTTAAATAAATAAAAGGGCAAAAATGCAAGTAGTCACACATATGAAATGTATCAAGTGAAATATTTGATTACTGAGTTTTTGATTACTGAGTCGTGGGTAAGTTACAGAATTCACTCCTGTATTATTTTAATCTCTTTCTTGTGGTTGTAATGTAGTTTTAAAGCACATAAACAACTCATAGTGAGAGCTACCCAGGCTAACATACAGCCTCAATACAGCATGGTTGGTTTAACACACTGTTACACCTGGGACCCCCAAAGTAAACAAGGAGAGAACTCCATATCCCCCATAAACATAAAAAACGGTGAATTTTGGGGGAATTTTTAACAGATCTAAACTATCAAAAATGATGTTGTAATGTTTGTAATGTTGTAATATGTTTCATTTTATTGTGCTGATGTTTTCTCTTCTACTTTGTGGTCAAAAATTCACTTGCCTTGTTTGACAGCTTCTTTTTTTACTAATTTTGATTAATTTAATTGAATGTATTCATGTTGGAAAGCTTGTCTGGTTCAAACAACATAGAATTGCATCAGTTCATTTTTATTAGCATCTGTTATGATTAACATAGGTTAGTAATATCTTCACTCCTACCACTTTTGGCTGAACTGTTCATGGAAATTGTTCATAAACAATAGAAACAAACAGTGGAAACCAAAATTTACATTTTCATTTGCAGCAGAGATTTGTGCTTAATTTTTAAATTAAGCAAAATCCAAAATGTGCTGGGCTTTGACCCTCTCTGGGCCACTTTTTAGGTAAATCTTGACACTTGACTGCAACACTAGATAGGTAGAGGTGTTATTTAGCTTATTTTAATGTAACTGCCTACACACAGTTACTTATTTTATGTACCAACACTTTGTGACTAATTTATCCCTCAACAGTTTGAACTACAGAAACTACGAATCTACTGCGACCCTGAGCAGAATAACAGAGAGACTGCTTGTGAAATACCTGGAGTTGTGAGTACAAGAATCTTGGATGTTCCTATTTTGGCCCAGACCGATATATTCCAACCATTAATGTCACATTATTTTTTCCAGTATAACCCAAACTGTGATACCAATTGTATGAGTGACTCGGTATGTAAGGTTGTGCTAAGCAATGATATCACAATACTTCTTAATCCTATATTTGCAGATATATTGGATTTCTGAGTCACTGCAGCAATCTGCATGTTAATGCTTTTCTTTCTGCCTGCTTCTCTAATTCACTGTTTAAAAAAATTGCATTTAAATCAACTTCACTTCTTGCTATTTTTTTAAGTTCACTAACCAAGCTCCAAAAAATGAGAGTCACTGGTAAAGGACATCTGCAGAAAAAACACTGCATTTGCACCAAGTTTGAATGAATCTGTGCTGGTTTGCTGCATTTTGGCCGATTTCATCATTTCGCTCCTTTCATTTGTAGGATGGAGAGGTATGTATTTTGGCCACTGGCTTTGCTCGCTTTCAAAAGTAACTGCTAAGCTCATTTTCAACTGCAGAGGTAAGACTCCCCGTGTTGTTCTTTAAGAGTGCCAAAATACTCTGAAAGCAGCGGTTCTAGCCCTGCCACATCTGTAGATTTCTTGGGGTTGGAACAGCTAAGAGAACATACATTAACCTCTTAAAGCCAGTGCGATCTGGTAGCAGGTCTTAAGAGGCTTTGGTGACCAGTGTTGGGGTAAAGCAGTAATGTGATTACTTTTCCTGTGACAGTGTAATTCTTTACAGTTTAAATTCTTGTAATCACATTAGAGTTAGTGACTCCATCACTCACATGTCTCTAAGATAAGATAAGATAATCCTTTATTAGTCCCACAGCGGGGAAATTCACAGCGCTACAGCAGCAAAGGGCCAGCAAGGCACTCAAGAAGAGAGTAACAAGAGGAACAAGAAATTAATAAACAAATAAATAACCTTGGGTTACAGTTTGTTACTTATTGTTGTATAGACAATATATATAATGCTAAAGATTAAAAAAACAATACAAGATAAAAGAAATAAACTCGATCCTTTACATAAACTCTTCAAAAAATGAACAAATCTAAAAATAGCAAAAATGATTTACACTGTAAGGATATTTTACCCGAATTGCACATGAAGTATTGATAAATTATAGGTCATTCTACAGAAACGTCCATTTTTTTGGCCCTAGCGTTTACAGATATATTACACTTAAAAAACATGTTAGGGTTACAATTTATTTATATTTTAAAATAAACCTATGTTACTTTAACAATTACACCTTCTTGAGCCTCAATTTAGCAATACTGTTTTTTTTTAAATCAATCATATAGAATTCCAAGCAGCATAGAAGTCCTCAATAAAATCCTCACAGTCATGTGTAAAGGGTGAGGCCATATTTTTAAAGTAAAAAACCTTTTTTTAACTACAATAATCTATACATGACTATGACACATATGATTTAAATGACAAAAAAAAACAAATGCCAAATAAATATTATAAATATATAATGAAAGTTGTTGTCTCCAGGAGTCGTGTCACTGGTGTTACTGTGTAACAAAAAATCTCTTATTTTGAAATAAAAGTCACACTGATGACATCACTTGACTTCCTTTTACCTGTTTTCTGAGGATCTATGAAGAAAAGCTCATGGTGAGTCAACTGTGTCTTTCAGTTATCAGAGATTTTCTCATTCAGCTCAAGATTTCATATGAAGCTTTTAGCTGAAGTCACTGGTGTGACCGACTTTATTCTGAGGTAACGGTGAAAAAATAGAATACAAATGGATTAAATTACATATTTTGGTGGATATTCCATGACTGACAACATGTGGTTTGATGCTCTGTAGCGGCCATTTTGTAAAATACATGTTTCATTAAAAATGTCTCTGGTGTTTCCTTTATTATGTGTAACACCAATGAGGATCAGTAACACCAGTGACTCCTATGGAGAGATAGAAAAGTGGACGTTTATATACATATATATATATATATATATATATATATATATATATATATGATTATGAAACTAAAAGTTGTTTTTTGGCCGTTTCAAGAGGCTAGTTTCTCAATTTTTTAAACAGCATCAGCCATTCATAACTTTAATAAGCATAACTGGCTGTGTCTTGTTTAACTCTTGTGTGGTGTTGTTTTTTAAATCAATACAGCCAGAACAATTTATGTAAAAATAACAGATGTTTAAAATGTCACAAGTGTCCAGCGTAGGGTTCTCCTTTAGCAGCTGTAGCCAGTCAGCAGCCTGTCCATGTTGTCCACTCAAACACACACACACACACACACATATACAAACACATACACACACAGACACACACACACTAACAGCAGGCCATGTAGGAGGAGAACAGAGTGAAGGACACAGCACCTCCACACTTTTACTCCCCGCAGGTTCAGCCCAACACCACATGTGTAATATAAATGTGTGGGGGGTGAACAGAGTGAAGACACTGAAAATGGGTTATTTTATATGTTCTTCACAGAAAATGAGTAAAGACCAAGAATCTGAGGCTGAAATAATAATAAATCTCATCATTTTTTCTTTTGGTAAACATTGAAAATGGGTCCCACAGACCTGAACACCACACAAGGGTTAAGGCAGTGATAGCGACAGGGCTTTTAAATGATGTTTACTGTGATTGGCTATTTCTTTCTAAATACAGTACTGAAAGGACATGTTGGGTTTTCCTTTGTTGTTTCCAGTTGGAACAGAAGTGTTTGGGTTTTAGAGAGTCACAGAAGAAGCAAAGTAATGAGTAGTGAGATTATTTTTTCAGAAAAATTGAATGTTATCCCATTACAGTTCACTGAGATTGGCTATTTCTTTCCTAAATAAAGTACTGAAAGGACTGTTGGGTTTTCCCCTCATACCTTGTAGCTGGCAAAGATTTATGTGAGTTTTAGAAAGTGGCATAGAAGTAGTGAGGTTACTTTTTCTCAGAATTAATAAGCAATCCCAGTACAGTTTGAGAGAAGTAATAGTCATTTTTAATGGGATTACTATACTCATTTTTGGAAAATACTAACTACTTGTTACTTTACTTCTGTGTTACTTTTCAAAACCGAAACACATCTGTATGAGCTGTGACGTCCAAGAGAAAACCCAACAGCCCCTAGTAGTGTAATGAGTAATGAGATGAATTTTCCAAAAAGTAATGAGTATAGTATTCCAGTATTCCCATTACAGTTTGGAAAAAGTAATGAGTAATTTGTAATGGATTACTTTTTTTGAGTAACTGCCCCAACACTGTTCACAACATTAATTTTCATTCATTAAAGCTTAATTTAAGCCTTCATTGTGCCTCTTTTGGTTCTTCGCTTTACGTTAAACAGTTCGCAGTCATGTAATTAGGCCTAAGATTTAATAAACCCCTTAAGTGTCCAGTCCTCCCAGCAGGCTGACTGCCATCCTGCATCGGGCTATTGGCTATTTCAGTGCTACTAGGCTGCATTTGTGAATGCAAGTATAATAAAGGCTCGTAAGAAACACAAGATGGAACACAACCTTGTGGCTTCATGTTGTGCTCTTTAAACATAGAACTGTATGAATCATCAGAACCTCACAGTTTGAGAAATGTGAAATAACGTCAGGTTTCTTTGGGATTCTTTCAGTGTGCTGAAGTTTCGGCTGACATCGATCCAACTCCAGAACCCTGCGTCTGTCCTCCTGGAGCACCGGGAGCTCCAGGCCCAAAGGTGGAACCTTTACCCATTTTCCTCTTGCATGAAAGTGAAGCCTTTCGTGAGCAAATGCTACTGAATGGTGCAGATCTTATTAAAGATTAAAGACTTTTACATGTAGACTCTCTCACAGCGGTCGGAAATACCACTTAACCCTTCCCTGCATTAAATTCACACAGAAAACTCTTTGCGGAGTGTTTGAAGTTTATAAGGTCAAGTCTGTGCTTGAAAACATATGCTGCTTTTCAGCAGGTGATCACTGTAAAAGCTAATCAGCTTTCCAAACTGCTTGAGGCTGATTTCTTTAAGTTTTAAAAAAGGCACGATAGCCTAAAGTCACCCTAAGCTATTTATTATTGGTATCCTGAGGAAAAAAAAGATGCTCAATTATAGATATTATTAAAGTCTGGACAGCTAAAAAGACTGGCAATCAAAGATTTCATGTCGGAAAAGCTTCCCAAGTCCATATTATATCATATTTTCAGTATCAGTACTGATACTGTATTATCAGTAACCCCAAAAGCAAAATCTTAAACATTCTATACTTCAACATACTTAAATTTTTTTATATGTTATCTTTAGGGAGAGAAAGGAATCGCTGGAGAACCTGGTATACCTGGTCTTGCTGGTGCTGATGGTAAGCCTGTGAGTACTATGCAGTTTAATACAAACCTCAAATCAAGCGGAGCACATGCAGTGCTGGGTAGGGGGCTAAACGATTACAGGACATCCCTTTATTTCTTTAACTACGTCAAGTCATGCTGGCAACAATCAAAGAAAGCAGTCAAGCCTACAGAACACTTTCAGAAACAGGAAATTCACTAATGTTGAGAAACTAGCAAGGACATTTGAGCAACAGGGCTCTGAACATTAAAAAAACAAAATGGTACTTCTCCAAACGGGGTAAATTTTAAGCAGATGGAGGTCCATTTAAGCTGAGTTTAAAGCAAAGCGAAGCTTTAGATCAAACAAATCAGCCTGTCATGTTTTATTTACTGTGAAATGCAATACTTTACTCAATAATGAATTAGGAAACTATACACTGCTACATATTTGGTTGCTGCAACATAGTCTTTGCAACACTGAGCTCCATGGTATATGGCTGTTTATCAGAGATGTGGACTCTGACTCGAGTCACAAATTTAATGAAAATGAGAAAATCAAGAAAGACTTGCAACTCGACTTCAGTGACTCAGACTTATGACTCAGAAAGACTCGAGACCCAAAGTGTAAGAAATGTGGAGAGTCTGACTGCAGACGGGACTCTACACAGCCACGTACTTTTCATGTGAATGGATTTGCCTCCTACCTTAAACTGAATAAACAGCAGCGTTGTCAGATGTCTTTTACTTAGTTACTTGTTAGTTTATTTGGGAAGACGAGACGAGCGTTAGAGCTCAAGTTCGCCTCCATAAGCTGGAAACAAGCGAAGCGTCAACAGCATCAATGCGCCCTCAGCACATAAACTCCAGCCTTACTGGAGAAACTCACCAGGCCAACTGACCGTTTTCCTCCTGGTAGCAAGACAAAAGAAACACAGCGTCTCTGTTCGACCAATTATAACAGCTTCTGCAGATAAACCAAGTGCAACATTCACCACGAGGCTGAAGTTGACTCGTTATTCGCCAGCTTCATATTGGAATCTGTCATTCCACCTTAATTGATGCAGCAGTCAGGCACTGGAACGTAACTGCTGCACCATTTAAGGTGGAACGGAAAATTTGAATAAGAAGCTGCTGGCAAAAAAGTCAACTTAAGCCTCATACATTCACCATCAATTTGCTGTCTTTTCTGTAAAGTTTGTTCAGCTCAGTCATTTTGGTTTCTGTTGTCGTCTAAATTCAATTCAAACTAGCCGTTGTTTTTAGTTGGCTGAACTAGTTTTAGTGCTGAGTTGGTTTAATATTAATGTATTCGCTCCCAAATGTTCCCAAAAATCATCAAAAATTGTCTTCAAATATAAATTCAATAGTACTTTTAAAATATGTGTGAAGTATGTGTGTCTGTTCCTTCAAGGGTTCTTCAGTAAAGAAAATGGATCTATATAGACACTCAAAGAACCCTTTGCATGATTAAAGGGTTCTCTGCATCATGAAAGGGTTCTTCAGACTGATAGAGAATGTGTTGTATACGGTTCTATATAGCACCTTTTTGAAAAGGGTTCTATATAGCACACGGAAGGGTTCTGCCATTGTTACGATGTCAGTATTGCAGCAATAGTAGAACCTTTTTTATGCTATACAGAAGGTGCTATATAGAACCATACACAACAAATTCTCTTTTAATCTGAAGAACGCTTTCATGATGCAAGGAACCCTTTAATCATGCAAAGCGTTTCTCTGAGTGTCTATATAGATCCACTTTCTTCAAAGAACCCTTGAAGACCCATCATTTTTAACTGTGTATTTACAGCTGAAGGACATTCAAACACATTTACAGTTTCACAGCTGAAGTACTTACAAGATAGTCCAACAATAAACAATTGATGTCTGGAGCTCCATAAGCCATTTACACATCTTTAGTCAACCTAAAGCATTAAAGGTAAACACACAAATGCTAATCATGTCCTCAGCTATCACTACCAGTCTAGTCACACTGCAAAGGTTTCCATTAAATCTACATGAGTAGAGCACAGTATGAGCTGGAGTCTGATGTTTACGGGTGCTTTTCTGTGAAGAATTTGTGGCCAATACTGATTTTAAGGGGCTAAAAATACCAATAACTGATCATATCAGCCAATATCATTTTGTATTTATATTAGAGATTTTAATTTTGTACTCGAATAATCAGTTAAACAGTGCTTTACTGACTGATATGATGTTTTTTGCTATAACATGTTACGTTCATGATACATGTTCATGATAAGGGCTGGATGGATAGTATACTTTTGATCTGCCATGATGATGTTTTGTGCAGTTACCAATTTACCAATCCAGCCTGCAACTGTTACAATATAGACAGGTTTGCAAAAAGGTACAGCTTCAGTATCATTTATATATATAGGCTCTACTAATTTTAAATGCAAATGAATACTGTCTTACAAGAGCATGCACCAGGTTAGGCATGGATAAAGAGCCTAAATGCAAAGATCATCTAGTAGCAGGAAATTTTAACTTTGGAACTGAATACAGTGGATCTGATTGGGAGTGATCACATCTGTCAGCAGAACGTCCCACCTGTGTTACCATCCAGGGACTCTGTCTCTCAGACAGGCTTCTATGGTGAGTGGTGTGAACTTCAGCTAAGACATACAGTTGTATGCAAAAAACTTAACAAGCCGAAAAAAGAGCCAAATTAACTCGTTAGGCTTTAATTAACTTAGGTTAGGCAAGAGGTACTGACAGCTGATGACAAATCCAGAGCGTAATAAATTCTCTGACTCTTCAAACTTTGTACTAACACTCAACAACCGTGGCCAGTTAAGGGGAACTGCGGAAGGCAAGTCAGGATCTGGAAGACGAAGAAAACTCTCTGATAGAGCTGCTTGCATTCTGGCCAAAAAGGCAAATCAAAACCCCCAGGAGTGATGGTCCACTTTTCTACTGATCAGCGTTGCATGCACAAATACGAGGTGCATGGAAGAGTCATCAGAAGGAAACCTTACCTGTGACCTCATCACAAAAGTCAATGTCTAAAGAATGAAAAACATCTCGATAAGCCAGAGGTATTTTGGAAACAAGTGCTGTGAATTGAAGAAGTAAAAATGGAACTATTTGGATGTAATCCCCAACGGTGTGTTTGGAAAAAAAAGAGCAGAATTTGATGAAAAGAACACTTTATCAACTGAGGTGAATCTACTGTGATTGTATGAAAGCCAGTGGTTCAGAAATGGACATAGAAGGACGAAAAGATTTTACTAAATATCACCAAATTCTGGAAGCGAATGTGATACCAGCTGTCAGTCAAGAAACTGAAATTGAAAAGGCTGCCTTCTACAACAAGACAATGATCCAAAACATACCTTAAAATCCAATGTGCTTCTTGAAGTAGTTCAAGCTCAAACTTTTGGAATGACCCTCACAGTCCTGACTTAAACATCACTGAAAATCTGTGGTGAGATCTCAAACATGCTGCACAGGCAAGACAGTTCTGTAAGGAAGAGAGGGTAAAAAATTAGGGGTAAAACGGGTAGAAGGACTCCTAACTAGCTATTAAAGAGCATTTGCAAACTGTGATATCAGCCAAAGGAGGAGATACTGAGTTAGTAGGGCGTTCAAACTTTTGCATATGACACAATCACAATTTTATTTTTTCTTCTTTTTTAAGTTAATCAAAAGTATCGCTGCTGTTGGAAGAAAACCTCGTTTTTCAATTTTGGACATAATTTGAAAATGCTTGTTGATCTTTACATTGTGTGTAAATTTCATGATGAATGGCCCAAAAGAAATGACCCAAAATGACTGGGAAAAAAGTCTGGTTCCATTGACTTACATTAAAAGTAAAGTATGTTTTTTCCTTCTCCTGTAAAGTTACTATTTTGGAGATATGAGGTTTTGTTCCGACATCAGCGATATATATATATATATATATATATATATATATATATATATATATATAAAACATTTTCAGAAAAAAATGCTGGTTTGCTGTAGAGGCTGTGTTTACTTTTCAATTCAAATACATCATTTGGCCAGCAGCGCCCAAATTTTGCGTACAACTGTACACGTTGCTAGTTTAAGCTTTTGAGATATGAAATGCCTATTAAATAGAAGGCATTTGAAGTCCAATCAGTGAGATGCCTGACTCATTCAAAATTTGTAATCGAATATTACAATTATTTGTATTACCAAATCATAATTACTTATTGTTATTGCTTACTATTACGATTTATTTGATTTTGTGAACTACTGTACAGATTTTTAATAAAACTTAACTGAAATACTGCAAGGTAATGAAAAAACATCACTAATGAACAGTTATTTTTATAGCAAGCAGAATAAAAATGCTAACCTAGGGGATCCCTGTTGAACTTGTTTTAAAATGCAAAGAAGTTAAAATTGAAACAATCAGTTATTGATACAGGTATTGAACATAATAAGGCGTTAATTATCACCCACAACGCAATTGCTGTGTCTAAAAGTATTAAGAAAACAAAGAGTGACAAAAAAGGGATTCTGACAGTGTAACTGACTGTGTAATAATGTGGGTATATTTTGTTTTTTCTATTGAATTTACATGCCCAAATCATAAGGCAAATTATTCCGTAACTGCATGATATAAATGTAATTTTTTTTTTTGTAAAACCTCCCCTCAAATTAACAGAAAATGTGTTTTATGATCATAAACATATTGCTATATGCTTACAGTTTACTGCTGAAAGCCAAAAATCTTAGATACTCTTTGTATTATTTTTTAAAAATAATTTTTACAGCGCAGATCACCGAAGAGACGTCATCTGAGATCCAGCTCAGATTTGTGGAAAAATGGGTCGACTTTCAGTAGAAAAGTTCAGCTTCTTTTATTATAAGGGTTTAAAATTACATCACCATCTATTTGACTGGAAAGAAGACAGTTACAGCTCTCATATGACCCCCACCTTTAGAATGTAGCTTATGAAATATGAAAGTTATGAAGTAAAGAATATGACAAAGTGCGTTTTGGAACCACCGGTGGTTCCAAGGAGTTAAAAAGATTAAGTAAAAATGTAAATATGACACTACTGACCTCACAGAAACAACCCAGCATCTCTCAACATATACAAAACACCACTGATCACGCCCCAGCCGACGCCATGTCAGCATTTTCTAAAAGACATGTTGGTGAGCTTACATATCTTAGTCTTTTTAGATGATTAAAGTGAAATATTTCCACATTTTTTACTTCTTGAGTCATGCATAACCCTGTACTGTAGTCTCTGTGTACTGAGTCATCTGTGTTTTCCCTCTTTCAGTCAAGTGAAGTAAATTGGGAGTGCAAATTATCAACATTTACAACATTATCATAATCATAACTGACACAAGATCTGATGTGTTGGTCATAGTGTTAGCCATTATACTGGAAATAATGATTACAGTTTTTTTATTAATGTCATGCAAAATTTAGTTGTAACGTGAGAGAAAGCTTTTCTGCAGATCTGGGGATCAACTGAGCGTAACTGGGAAAGCTCTTAAAAGAGGCAGAAGGATGCAAAGTCATTGTTTCCATAAAAGTGCTATACATGGTCCTCGAGAGAGTGAAAGCAGATAAAGCAAGAAGGAGCTGCAAAGGGTTCCGGAGGCGTTTGAAGGTTTGCCATTTTGGCTGCCATTGCAGTTTTCTTGAGCAAAAGCAAAGCTTGACTGAAGAAGTGTGTTGAGCATAAAAGCAAAACAACCCTCAAAAGAACAGAGCGCTTTCGTAAACATGTGCGATGTGGAAACACACGGATGCAATATTTTCTGGCTGTTTGTGAATTAACAGCTAAGATTTGGATAAATCTTTAAGCAGCTTTAAGAAAAAACAATCTGCAGTACGGTGCACAAGTCAGAGACCAACCTTCAGTCATCTAATCATCAGTCAAAATAGCCATTATTACAAGTTATTCATATTTTAGGAGATATTTCTGAGGAGATTAGATGTAAAATAATCCACTTTCATAAGGAGAGAGTAAAAAAAAGAGTTAAAAAAAATATTCAGAGAAAATGAGACTCCTAACTTGGGGTGGGCAACATGACAATATTTTATTGTGTCTTTATGAATTAAGTCACAAAATGAAACAGTTTTTTAAATGTGGCTCTACTGGTTTTTGCCATTTCAACTTACAAACTTGAGAAAAACTAAATACTGTGATGCACATCATGTATCTCCAAATATTGTGATATTGTATGTTTGCTAAGTTGCCCACCCCTACTTCTATCAACAACCTGGAAGACCTGGTAGACCCCAAAACTGCCCCCACCAGATAAACAGCACTGAAAGCTTTCATCTCTGAGAGAGAGGAGAAAATCAAGCTGCTTCAGATCTGAAAACATCCACAGGTGTTTCTGTCCATCCTTCCACTGTGAGAAGACGACTCAGCGCTGTGGGTCTGAAAGGATGTGTAGCTGTCAAGAATGGATCAGACACAGCAGTGCTGCTGGAGTTTTTAAACACTGTGTCCACTCTCTGTCCACTCTATTAGACACTCCTACCTTGTCAGTCCACCTTGTAGATGTAAAGTCAGAGATGATAGCTCATCTGCTGCTGAACAGTTTGTGTTGGTCATCCTCTAGTCCGTCACAGAACGCTGCCCACAGGACGCTGTTGGCTGGATATTTTTGGTTGGTGGACTATTCTCAGTCCAGCAGCACTGCTGTGTCTGATCCACTTGCACCACCACCACGTCAGTGTTACTGCAGTGCTGAGAACGATCCACCACCCAAATAGTACCTGCTCTGTGAGGGTCCATGGGGGTCCTGACCACTGAAGAACAGGGTAAAAGGGGGCTAACAAAGTATCAGAGAAACAGATGGACTACAGTCTGTAACTGTAGAACTACAAAGTGCACCTATATAGTAAGTGGAGCTGATAAAATGGACAATGAGCATAGAAACAAGGAGGTGGTCAAAATGTTACGCCTGATCAGTGTATGGTCAAAAAACAACACAGTATCCACTATTCCAGTACTATAAGTAGTTATATTACTAACCCAACAGATGCAAATGAAAAAAAGTTATGTGCTGCATTAAATCGTAGCTCCTTTTTCACATTTGATCATAGTATCTAAGGTCAAGCTACTGTAAAGGCCGTCTGTCTAAATACAAAGAATAACTCTGTGCTGGGTTTGGTGGCCTTTGAGTGTTGGCAGATGTACACAGAGTCAAGCCTCTCACTTGCGTATCATAAACTGAGCATGACTGTACCGCATTCACCCGTTTATGAAAAGCAAGTTTTAGATTTGGTTTATGTCTCAAAAACAATGAGATGAGTGTAGTCCCCCCCGAATAAAAGATCGCACAGATGTTTTGTAGGCGTTTGAGGGGGGTCATATTCTGATAGTGTGCTACATGTTCCACAGAAATTCCTCCAATAATCATTCCCAGTGTTCATGTAACCTTTTAATGTTTTCAGCAATGCCATGTTTCTCTATTAGCACCTCATTTTTGTCCCTGAATTCCATTTCACAGCATGAGTTTATCGACCAAAGCTGGTCGTGAAGAAGTTGATTTAACCTCTTTACATGGCCAGGGCCATGTAACAACATGCTCCAATAAAGTTGGGACGGGGGCCTGTTTACCACTGTGTTTCATCACCTCTTCTTTTAACAGCACTCTGTAAGCGTTTGGGAACTGAGGAGACACTGCTGTAGTTCTGAAAGTGAAATGTTTTCCATTCTTGTTTGATATTGGATTTCAGCTGCTCATCAGTTCAGGGGCTCATTTGTTGTATTTTTCATTTCATAATGCGCTAAATGTTCTCAGTGGGTGACAGATCTGGACTGCAGGCAGGTCAGTTTAGCACCCGGACTCTTTTAATACGGAGCAATGCTGTTGTAATTCATGCAGAATGTGGTTTGACATTGACTTGCTGAAAAAATCAAGGCCTTCCCTGAAAAAGACGTCATCTGGATGGCAGCGTATGCTGCCAAAACATGTATATATCGTTCAGCACTAATGGTGCCTTCACAGATGTGCACGTCACCCGTGCCATTTTACGCTGAGAAACGTTATTCTTGAATTGTTGCACTATTTGATTATGCAGTCTTTCACAGAGTGGTGAACCCCTCCTCATCTGTACTTCTGAAAGACTCCGCCTCTCTGAGATGCTCTTTTATACCCAAACATGTTACTGACCTGTTACCAATTAACCACCAGGTGTTTTTTTTTTTACAATACACAACTTTACAAGCCTTTTGTTTCTCCCATCCCAACTTTTTTTGGAATGTGTTGTTGGCATCAAATTCAAAAAACAATAAAATTTCTCAGTTTTAACATTTGATATGTTGATTTTGTACTATTTTCAATAAAATATAGGGTTTAAATGATTTGCATATCTTTGAATTTTGTTTTTATTTACGTTTTGCACAACTTTTTCGGAAATGAGGTTGTAATAAGTCGTGAACTGTAAGCGGTTAATTAGATGTTTTGTTGACTGGAAGTGAAAAGAAGTTAATTTAACCTTTGCAGGGAACTTAACTAGGACATTTCTTCAAATTCACATCCACAACTACTGTTAATTTGCTCACGTTTTACATTTGGGGAAGAAAGTTAATGCGATAGAGCAGATTGTTTTGTTATGTCTTGGAATGTAATTGACTGGTTAGGCTTTAAATGGGAATTTCAAAATTTCTGCATAATTCAGTCGCTGAGATGTAAACAAAATCATTCAAAGCGGTTTGATGTGAAATGTTTCATTATACGGAAACTTAGCAACTCAGATTTCTTTACAGTGGTGTTGATAGGAACCAGATGGTCAAGATGTCTACAACACAAATATAGCCATTTTATTTACTATCCAAAACCATCAGTGAACCTACACCAGTCTTGTCATCATATTGATGATGGTAAAACTGATAAATCTGAAAAAAAAGTTTTCTTTGGGGACTATTTTTCTTACAGAGCTCTGCATGTATCACTCCACCTTGTATGTGTTTTTAATAATGTTTTAGGCCAAAATCTTCTTAAAACTGCTGGAAAACAGTTTCTCAGACATCAGGCTGTGAATTCATAACATTTCATGTAGTAGCTTTCTGTGAGGAAGCTTTTTGAGATGGACATCTGGTTCCTATCACCACCACTGTGAATAATTCTGACTCAGCAAGTTTCTCCAGAACAGAGCGTTTCACACCAAACCCCTCTGAACGACCCTGTTTACATCTTAACTACTGAATTATGGAGAAAATTTGAAAAATTGGTGGAACTGCTCATTAATCTAAGTCAGGCGTGGACTTTTCCAGAGCATAATAGATTCTGTGCTCCTCTCAGTCCCATGGGCCCCTCTAAGCAGCTGACTGAGGGTCTGCAAATAAAGATAATAAGCAGGAACAGGCTACAAAAACATATTAAAACATTCTCGTTTGTGATCTGCACTTTCTGAAATGTTATTGTTCTAGTCGTCCTTCACTACAAGCATTATTAAGAATCAGTGCACTACAACAGCTACTCAAACGGTTCATTCAGTGGGCATCAGTTTTATCTGTGCTGCATACTGAACGTATCTGTTGCTGCTGCAAACATAAAAGCTAATTGATTAACTGGCTTCATATGTGCTCTTGACATTCTAAATGATGATTACCGTACTTGGCACTGAACGTTCTGCAGACTCATGCAAATGAAAGTACAGTACATAAATTAACTTTCAAAGCGATGGAAAAATGTCTTCATCCCTTTTTCCGTGGAAAAGGAAAATAAATTGTTTGATATCTGAAAACCCACAGAGAGAGGAAAATAAGTTGCCTGATGTTTGATTAATGATATTTCAGAGCTCGTATGTGGTACCAAAGAAACAACAACTATCGAAGAGGTTGTCCGAAATTATAATAGTGTTGCTCCACCATGCCTGTGCTGTATTACTGCTCATATCTTGATGAACTGACAAGATCTCTTCATTTATTTAAGGGCGTTCCTGGACTAAGAGGAAGTCCCGGCCTTCAAGGTCCTCCTGGCATAGAGGTATGAAAGTAACTCCCAATAATGTTGTAATGATTTCCCAGTAAGTTAATTTATATTTATTAGATCTTACAGGACGAATCTGTCCTCTGTGCAGGGTCCTCGTGGAGCAGATGGGTTTAAGGGGGAAAAAGGAAGCTCTGGAGAGCCTGTAAGTCACCATTTATTCATAATATTCATAATACATTCATCAATAAATACTGTACAAATGTATTGGGCAACTGAGAATGAATATATATATATATATATACACACCATTTAATCAGCTCCACTTAATATATAGGTGCACTTTGTAGCTCTACAGTTACAGACTGTAGTCCATCTGTTTCTCTGCATACTTTGTTAGCCCCCTTTTACCCTGTTCTTCAGTGGTCAGGACCTCCATGGACCCTCACAGAGCAGGTACTATTTGGGTGGTGGATCATTCTCAGCACTGCAGTAACACTGACGTGGTGGTGTGTTAGTGTGTGTTGCGCTGGTCTGAGTGGATCAGACACAGCAGTGCTTCTGGAGTTTTTAAACACCTCAGTGTCACTGCTGGACTGAGAATAGTCCACCAACCAAAAATATCCAGCCAACAGCGTCTTGTGACCACTGATGAAGGACTAGAGGATGACCAACACAAACCGTGCAGCAGCAGATGAGCTATCGTCTCTGACTTTACATCTACAAGGTGGACTGACAAGGTAGGAGTGTCTAATAGAGTGGACAGTGAGTGGACACAGTGTTTAAAAACTCCAGCAGCACTGCTATGTCTGATCTACTCGTGCCAGCACAACACACACTAACACACCACCACCACATCAGTGTTACTGCAGTGCTGAGAATGATCCACCACCCAAATAGTACCTGCTCTGTGAGGGTCCATGGGGGTCCTGACCACTGAAGAACAGGGTAATTTTTTTTCAGTTTTTTACATAATTTGAAAATACCTGTTGCCTTTTATACTGTGTGTAAATTTCATGATGAATGGACCAAAAGAAATGGCCAAAATGACTTGGAAAAAATTCTGGTTCCATTGACTTACATTAAAAGTAAAGTATGTTTTTCCTTTTCCTGTAAAGTTACCATTTTGGAGAAAAAAGATTTTGTGTACACTAAATTTTCACTTAGAAAATCAACAAAACATGCGATTTGGCGACTGTACGTCAACGTTTTTGTTTAACCATTACCAAATCTCTCTTCAATGAACCCCAGTATTATTTGTAGTTATCGTCCAATACCTGGTTTGGCTGTTCAATACTTCCTTAAATGAAATCAGGTGCTGCTGATTAAATTTAACAAACCCATGTGACGACCTGAGGCGTCCAGGAGGAATCAGGAATCAAACCTGTGTACTTTTAACCAGCACATAAATATGAAATAAGACTTTTTTGTCTTAATGACAAAAATGTTTATTAATATCTTATACTGATGTTTATTTGCATTTATTCTAATAATGTATAATGTAACAACACTTGCTGTTCAGATAAATGGTTCTGCGTAAAACCTTTACACAGCACTGTATATGTGTATGTATGCCTTGATGATACGTGTGGTCTTCTTCTCTCTTCAGGGTGAAAGAGGAGTCTCAGGGTTACCTGGGCAACCAGGTCAACCAGGTGAAAAGGTACTGTTGGCCTTGAAGCACATTTTCACCCTATACATACACACTATCCATGTTTCTACACTGTATACGATCTGTGCAGTAGATGCCTGAGGTAATTCAAGCTGGTCATCTCAGTGGTATCTACTGAAGCCCACTCCCCCCAGATAGAGGAGAAAACAAAAGTCCTTCTCTGTTGTAGCAGTGTGTCAAATCTGAATCTTGAAATGTCTTTTTTTCTCAAAATATTCACTTAGTATCTAATAAAGACTTGGCATCTTGAAATAAAGAATTATTTTTCTCAAAATACTGACTTGCAGGGTGTGTCCCAAAACCTAGTGAGCTCTCTAAGTAGCCGCTGTCTACATAGGCAGCTGTCTAAGTAGGCAGCGTTCCAACCGTCATCTATCCTTATAAGGCAGATAAATGAGACGGTCTAGTTAGACAGCAGTGACGTCGCCGCTGGTTCCCGCCCACTGCACGAGACCGGCGTTTACTTACCTCAGCCGTCAGAATCACACTTAGCCAGCATGGATCTGCTCTGGCGGTTTATATAGCGATTTTAATTGTATTTGCTCTGAATGAAACAGCAAAATAGACAATAGTTGTGGTCAAATTCGAATTCAAGCACTACTTGCTGCTCTTGATGTCAACAGTAAACCCTTTCCCCACATCATCCAAGGTTCATTAATCTTCTAGCTGCCAGTTTGAGAAAATGACGGCCATCGACGGACTGATTTCTGCACCTATATGACTAGAAAACAGATAAAATACCACAGAACATCAGAATAACTTGCATTTGAAGATGACGTCGCTGCTTGGTGAAGCGCTTCTGCCCGCCATTTTCAAACAAAAGCTGCCCCGCGCTGCATCGCGGGATCGCCTCAGCGGCTGAGGAAACATCCGATGCTCTCTCGATATTGGGCCAAAATGAGATACCTTAGTAGGCAGCATATTTGAGATATTTATGAATTGGGACAGCCTACTTGTCGGGAGCGCACATAATGGGTGTGTCTCAAAACCTAGTGAGCTCTACATAGACAGCATTTTACGTCACAATATGCGCGCTCCCGACAAGAAGGCTGTCCCAATTCATAAATATCTCAAACATGCTGCCCACTGAGGTATCTCATTTTGGCCGAATATCGAGAGAGCATCGGATGTTTCCTCAGCCGCTGAGGCAATCCCGCGATGCAGCGCGGCGTAGCTTTTGTTTGAAAATGGCGGGCAGAAGCGCTTCACCAAGCTGCGACGTCATCTTCAAATGCAAGTTATTCTGATTTTCTGTTTATTTATCTGTTTTCTAGTCGTAAACGTGCACAAATAGCCTATACTTTCCGCGTTTGACCACAACTATTATCTATTTTGCTGTTTCATTCAGAGCAAATACAATTAAAATTGCCATATAAACCGCCAGAGCGGGATCCATGTTGGCTAACTGTGACGGCTGAGGTAAGTAAACGCCGGTCTCGTGCAGTGGGCGGGAACCAGCGGCGACGTCACTGCTGTCTAACTAGAGCGTCTCATTTATCTGCCTTATAAGGATAGATGACGGTTGGAACGCTGCCTACTTAGACAGCTGCCTATGTAGACAGCGGCTACTTAGAGAGCTCACTAGGTTTTGAGACACACGCATTGTCTTAAGTACTTATTTTATCAAACACTTGAATATCCTGATACTAAACAATGACTTATTTTCTTGAAATAATGTCCTCAGACTTTGGCTGTCAAAATCATGAGTTATTAATAAGCAATTATTTTGAGAAAATACATCATTTCAAGATATGAAGTCAATAATTTGAGGAAATGACTATGTTGTGATACAAAATTTTAAAACAACCCTGTCAGAAACAGAGAAGGAGAAAATAATTGATATATATATATACATATATATATATATATATATATATATATATATATATATATACACCTATCCTCCATGGGTATCCCACACTTTGTAAACATCTGGATGCAAGTTAGTTCAGTAAGACTAACTGTGTTGCTGAATAATCCTCACTCTCAGACTTTCAAATAAGCCTCTAAGTGGCCTGGTTGTTAGCAGAGCTTCAATCCAAACACAATAATTTAAGCTCACCACTACAATATGAGGAAAATATGTTTCATGAAAAATTGCTAGATGACTTAATCCTAAGGCAGTGCCTCGCTATGAGCCGACTAAACTAATGTGACGTGTTAATTCTATGAAGGATTGTTTTATGTAATTAGAATTGCTTTGAAAACATGAACATTGCCCAACTGCCAAAAAAAGACATTATATTACATTATAATATTATTAAAAAATCTATGAAACTTTATAAAACCATGCAAGATTGCACTGCAACCATTTCAATTCCTAAATGACTGCCAACTTCATAGGTGATCCCTCATGTTCAGTTACTTGTTTTCCCTCACAGGGGGCGGCTGGCTCTCAAGGGGGACCAGGGATGCCAGGAAAAGACGGACAAAAGGTATAAACCCTGAGGATAAATCGCTGTTGGGAATGTGAGGATTTAAGTGAATTCCATATCTGTGATCTACTGTAAATTTCTGTATGTGAAATTACAAAAACTACATAATGCAAAATGCTAAATTTAGCACAGTTAGTGGTGTAACTGCATACAGCTGAGCTCAAACAACACGATTTTAATATGGATAAATGAGTGAAACAGGGCTCTAACAAACATTGGGAAGTTCGCAAAATTAGACTCTAACAAACGAAGAAACTGCTGAACGAGGCTCTAATCAACATACAAGGAGTAGCGAAATGAGGCTCCAACAAACATGGAGAAATGTGCAAAATGAAGCTCTAAAGAATGAAGAAATTAGTGAAGCGAGGTTCTAACAGACATGGAGAAATTAGCGAAGCGAGGTTCTAACAGACATGGAGAAATTGGTGAATAAATGATGAGACTTGCTGCTCACCGGCACTACGGTCAGGTCTGGCGCAGCCTCTGAGTAAATGAGTGAATATTCACCGTATCTGCCTCCTCTCTGAAGGTGACGGCCATTCATGTTCTGTAGGGACCCAGAAGCAGAGAGGAGGTTACTGGGCTATGGAAAGAACACAATGCCTTGCTTGCAAATGATTAAAAACAGATATTTTTGCTCTCTTCTTTCCTTTTTTCTGCACAAATCAGTTCAGAAAGATCCACAGCGAGTTTCTCCAGCTCCAGTTTGGCAGATGATAGAAAGTTCTCACGTTTATTTCCGTGAGACAGCGGCAGTTTCTCACTTTGTGACAAATCTCTCACGATGAAAGAGCCTCATCCACAAACGCTTCTGCAGAACGCTCTCCGCTACGTCTGAGGCTTTCACAATTGTGTAGCGTCCACTAGGAATGAGAGGCCCATGGCTCATCACTGGGACCACAGCCATTTGTGGCCAGGATTCCAACACAGTACTGGCTTTGCTTTCTGGCTTCTTGATGAGTTCCTTTCCCTCATCAATCTACAGTGGTCAAATTGTCATGTAAACAGAGCTTGGGGGTCAGCTCTTCCCTCCAAGCACACTCAGCTGCTTTGTGACATTGCATGAGAACCACTTTTAAAGGTTTTAATGGAGCTTGTGCTTGTCTTGATTCTCCCAGACTGGTTGGTGCCCACGACAGGGTAGATTCAGAGTAATTGTGGGAACTGGTGATGACTAAATATTGATGGCACTGGTATTATCTAGGCAATATGAGACATTATGTATGTTTTAAGGCATATTATAAACCTAGGTGTGTCTGTTATTCAGAGGAAGCATTTAGCAGGCAGAAGACCTCAATTAAGGCCGTCACACATCGAATGGATATGCAAAAAAATGACAGACACTGTGTTCACTGCAAAAAATGGTATCTTGTCAACTGAAATGATCTTAAATCTAGTTGAAATCTAATATTTCCCATTTTCAGATGGTTTTGCGCTTATTGTAAGATTGTCTAGTTTATTTGTAGACATTTCTAACTTGTTTTAAGTAATCTAATTAAGTAAAATGATCTCACAGGATACCATTTTTGCAGTGTTGCGAACATTTTCACACCACAGAAAAACTGGGCAGAATATCTACCAAAACGTCTTCTGCTTCTCATGAAACAGGAAAACCGTGACACTGCTCAGGATGCTTTCCATTTTGGAAAAGTGAAAGGAGAACAGAGAGCTTCGCCGCCTCATTCAGGAGCTAAAACGTTCTTAACTCTTTCACTCACTGCTCTGATCTCCATGACTCAGTTTGAGCTGATTTTGGAGATGCAGCTCCACAACAGCTGAATGTGTTGAAGTGCAAGTAAGTTCCAGAGACACTGGGCTACTGTCCATTTTGGAAAACTGAAAATAGCATGAAGAGCCTCAACGCTTCCCTCAGAAGTTGAAACTTTGACTGCTTTCACATAGGTTACAACTCAGATGTATGTAGCCCAGTTTGAGTCCTGTTTGAGCTGCTTTTGAAGTCTTTTAGTGTGTTCTGTTTACTGGAACAGAGCTGTTCCATCATATTTGGTGTCACCACGCTAATACCAGAGATGAATGATTGGTCAGAGAGTTCATGTTGCCAGCAAAAGTTCGCCAAAAAATCGTGGGTGGATAAAATAATGTTGCATTTCTGCAGGCAGAAAAATTGTGTTTGGTGTGCAATATAGTGTACTTCTTGCAATTTTATATTTATTTTATTAAACTGCACTATTTGTAAATAGAAACACTACCATCCACATACGTGCAATACCCTCATGTGCAATACCATAGCTGCTACACTCTTTTATATCCACTCTTTTTTATCATTTTATTTTAAATTATTTTAGTTTTATTACTTATTTTACTTTTTTATAATTTTATTTTAAATTTTAGTTTTATTTTTTATTTTACTTTTTATAATTTTATTTTAAATTATTATTTATTTTATTATTATTATTTTACTTCTTATTTAAATTAGTCTTTCCTTTTATATCTTGCATTTCATATTTTATATTACCTTGTATTTTTGTTTTATCCCTAGTTTAATCTTTTTTTTTAATCTTTTGTTTATGCACCGTTAGGATTGCTGCACTTTCGTTGTACTATGAGCATGACAAAGTATCTTGAATCTTGAATCAGTTATACACATGCTCAATCATTTACTATCATCCAAATAAACTGCACAAATAAATCATCCTTTGTGTGTAAAAGCCTTTATTCTCTGGGTCTATTTCCAGCATTAAAGCTATGTTCTCTATCACAGGGTGAAAAGGGAAGCAGTGGACCTGCTGGCCCTCCTGGATATCCAGGGCAACCTGTATGTATGCAGTTCCACCATTTATGTAATGATGTAAACTGTGTTCAGCAAATGTAAGGTGAACATCTGTTCTAGCTACCATGCAGTAAACGCTTGCTTTATTAACAGGGACCACCAGGAAGAGATGGGAAAGATGGGATTCCAGGTGCAACTGGTCAAAAGGTTTGCATCAAACACAGTTCTCACAGTAAAAGAATAGGATTTCCTCAGAGGTGGTAACACTAGCTGAAGGCTACCTTTATAGGAACTGCTTAAGCATTGAAGAGTGTATTTATAAAGCAAGAGTTCTCCAACAGCTTACACCAGCATTTGTGAGAAGAAACAGACTGTTTTATGAAGAAAATGACGAGTGTGTTTACATGCACTTAATAATCCAGTGACTGCAATTGTCATCTGATCAACCTGTTTACATGCACTTGAGTAATCAGATAATGGGGAAACTCTGGGTCTACGTGAGTCAGACAATAATTATCCACTTTTGCAACCAGCCAATAAACTCACAGAAGATGACGTGATGTAAATGTAATGTCAAAGTCAGACTTCATGCTGTGGCTTGAAACTATGAACATTCATTATCGGGAAGAGGAAGAATATTTGAATCCTGCATTTTCATGAAGAATGTAGTTCTCAAGAATGTGTTTGGTTTCAGCATCGCTCCAAAAGTGTTTTGCTGCATCTCACGGCGACGCTGCTCACTTATTTCTGGCACCACAGTCTATTTTCGCACATGTGGAGACTCAGAAACCGGAAAGAATTCAGAGTAAGAGTTTACTTGCACTGAGAAATCTGATCACTGAACTAAAATCCAGCTCTCTTTATCAGATTTCTAAATCAGATTTCTAGGCCCTACTCTGATCTAAGAATTCAGAGTGTGCTGTTTACATGACAGTTTGAATAATCAAATAGCTGCAGAAATCCGATTATGATCGGAGTACTGAGTGCATGTAGACGCACTGACTGACATTAAGGTCCTTAAACTAAAGCGACTGATATTTGATCGATTTATGACTCGTTCATGAAGCATCATTCTTATTTATGCAGCCTAGTTAAGAACACTTACCAGTTCTAATTCATATCTATTTGAGATAAAGTGTAAAAATACCGTTTCTATTCATATTTATTGTATAATCATCATATTTCTTGTGGTAATATTCTACCAAGAGTATTTCCGCTCTTACTTAAATGCAGAATTTTTGTAGATATACATACTGATTGGCAATTTCACACCACCACCACCACGTCAGTGTCACTGCAGCGCTGAGAATGATCCACCACCCAAATAATACCTATTCTCTGGTGGTCCTGTGGGGGTCATGACCTCTGAAAACAGACTAACAAGGGGCTAACAAATTATACAAAGAAACAGACGGACTGCCGTCTGTAATTGTAGAACAACGAAGTGCCCTTAAATGCTGATAAAATGGATAATGAGTGTTCATAAACACTTGTATACTGCTTTATAAATATGGTATTCAGTGCTTATGCTAGGTAGCCATGTGTCGCTGTTGTGGTTATGCAGGCTTTTCGGCTTTACTTGGAAGAAATCAACATGAAAGTAAAATTACTTAGACATGCTTTAATGAGATTGTACCATTGTTTCCTTCTCTATACGGAACCACACTTTCTGGGCCAGACGTATGGAGGAGCGCAGGCCTCCACAATCACCTGAGTTTAATGTTTTATTTATTATAACTGCTGCTTAAGTGCTTTCCCAGCGAAACATTCTGCAGCAAACAACATGGACTCACATATTGCAGCAGCTTATTTTGTCCAGGCAGGAAGCTAACCACCAAGTAAAAGCTAACCTAGCCAGACTTACTCATCTAGCAAGAACATCTGCCTGCTCAGTCACCCGGCCAAGCCTGGGATGCACATTCAGCAGTAAAGTCAATAAAAACCTTCTTTAGGATGTCTCCAGCAGTTGTGTCTACAAACTTTAGCAAACTGAGTGGAATGTGGAATCAGCTGCATGTGTAATAACTCCCCCCACTTTTCACACAGTCCTCCAGTTTGTGTGGCCCTCCATCAAATGAATATGCGTGAGGAAGAGTTTAGCCATGCACGTGGTCCATAAAGAGCATGTTTAGGCTCGTGCAACGTGTACAGAACACGTTGGCAGAATGCGTCCAATTTGTGCCTGAAACTGCTGCAAACAGCCCATTTGGGCCCTCTGTTTTTAGAAAAGCAGATGGTTGTTGTTGTTCTGAGTTGTTTAGCACAATCTGTGTTGTTCCTGGATTATACGCTTTGATGCTCAGTGACACACAATGGCACTTTAATCTTCACATTTGTTCATCTTCTCACAGTCAGGGAGAGAATAAAGGAGTGAGAGGTTTATCTCAGTGTGTCTGAACCAGACACGAATTGCTGATCCTTTTCAGGCAGCATAAAGCATTAAATTCTCATTAAATACATCTCTACTATACTATTTGCGATTGAGCGACGTCCCTCAGTGGTCCCAATGTTCTTACCTTGTTGTTTCTCGTTCAGTGTTCTTGCTTCATGCGTAGTACGTCTGTAAGATTCTAATACATCTGCTACTCCTGTATTCCCTACATTGTTTCTTCAGGGAGATGCAGGAGCTCCTGGCATTCCTGGCCAAGACGGAAGACAAGGACATCCTGTGAGTACATGATAAATCAGTCATTCCCATTTTATGCTACATAAACTACAAGCATTATTTTTCATTTTGCACACCGCTCTTTCAAACAGACACCCATCCTATCTTCTAAATCATATTTACAAAAAACAAAAGGACTTTTATCAAAAGGCACAGCAGTAAATCTTCTGTACTGCTTTAGGAAAAGCTGTTTTAAACAGTGTCAAAGGTGCAAATTAGGGCTGAATGATTTAGGGAAAATCTATAATTGTGATTTTTCTGGACAATATTGTGATTTAAATGTTATTGTCCTCTATGAATTGAGCTCCAGGCCTTTTTAGAGAAGGCTAGCACGTCCATTTTTGGGAGTTTGAGGCTTGAACGCTGAATGTAGTGCCAGGCTGCCAGTTCATGAGGTCACATTTGTCCGCCTCAGACAATGTAGAATATTGTAGGACTGGGCTGTCCAATCTTATCCACAAAGGGCCAGTGTGGCTGCAGGTTTTCACTGCAAACAAGCTGGAGCAAACTTGACTCCGTGTGTTTAATCAGTTGATCTTAGTCTTCAAACATTTTATCAGGTGATCTCCTGCTTTGTTGGAGTGAAAACCTGCAGCCACACTGGCCCTCTGCGGATAAGACTGGACACCCCTGATGTAGGGTATAATAAAATTGCAGCTCTTGCACTCTTTCAAATTATGATTTTTATATAAAAACAATCATTCAACCCTAGTGCAAACACAAAAAACATGCAAAGAAATACGCTCATGAGGGAAGCTCTTTATAAAAACACAAACACAGAATTGTAAACAAGTTTTTTTTTGTTTTACAAAAGTTGTAAAAAATTTCCACCATGGAGAAAAAATGTATAAAATATTTTTATTTTTAGTGATCTAATATGTGGACCAAGCGAAGAGAGAGGAAAACCTCTCTGTTTTCAAACCACAGCACTGGTAACGGAATAGCATAATGTAGGAGAACTAGTTTCAAAATCTAACATCCCTTTAACCAATGTTGTTTGTTTTTTTTAATATTGAATATTAATATATTTTTGACTTCTTGGGTCAGACACAGGGACTTCTGTCTCTGCTATCTGTGTTTTCTTTTAAGTTACTGAATGTTAAATGGGAAGCGCTGTCAAGCCAACCAATTGAAAAGCTTCACTGTCAACTACTTTTTTTTATCATCAGGTGTTACTGCAGCCCTTAACCTCTCTATTTCTGAGTACATGTTGTGTTGACTGATCTGACGGAGAGAACTGTAGGACATTCATTAGTGCTGGACAGCAGAAATCCTCTGTGAAGTGTGAGAAAAATGGCAAGTGACTCAGCTGTGCAGCTATTTTCACTGGCAGCTCCTCTCACTAGAGGAGAGCACGGTCTGAGTCATAGAGTTTTTGTGACCCCACTGAGAGGACGCAGTTGCTAAGTGAAGCCACCTATCAACAGTGCATGATTTGCTCGCTGCTGACAGTGTGCGGTCAGGCCGGAGCAGTTTGTGCATCTGTCTGGTCCTCACTAAGTATTTCCAAATGAAACACAGTGTTAGAGAGGGTTTCTGAGCTATGTTACTGGATAATATTATTCCGCCCTGCATGCTGGAGCGCAGTGACGTTATCAAAATCAGAAGACCTTTTATATCCAGGAACAAATAAGGGTAGGTAGGTTGGCAAAAATATCACAATACCTGAAGACATTTTCTCGATGCATGATACGTACCAAGTATTTTGACACACAGACACTATGGACTAGTAGTGCCATGTTTAAAAACTTTCGGCACAATGATTTTTATTCAGCATTTCATACATCGCACTGCACTAAATTCAATTAAACAGGACTAATTAGGACGTAACAGCACTTTTTTAATGAAACATGAAGTTGGTCTGTGTTCTTTAAGAGCAGATGTTATCCACGATACGCTCAGAAATGCATATCGTTCACCCTGATAACATTTATGACAACAATTACATTTCATATTTTTGCCCAGTTTATACAACGAGTTTTTAAACACTGTGTCCACTCACTGTCCACTCTATTAGATGCACCTGTGTTGTTGGTCCACCCTGTAGATGTAAAGCCAGAGACGATAGCTCATCTCTTGCTGTACAGTATGAGCTAATCATCCTCTAGTCCTTCATTGTGGTCACAGGACGCTGCCCACAGGACGCTGTTGACTGGATATTTTTGGTTGGTGGACTATTCTCAGTCCAGCAGTGACACTGAGGTGTTTAAAATCTCCAGCAGCACTGCTGTGTCTGATCCACTCAGACCAGCACAACACACACTAACACACCACCACCACGTCAGTGTTACTGCAGTGCTGAGAATGATCCACCACCTGCTCTGTGGGGGTCCATGGGGGTCCTGACCACTGAAGAACAGGGTAAAAGGGGGCTAACAAAGTTCACAGAGAAACAGATGGACTACAGTCTGTAACTGTAGAACTACAAAGTGCACCTATATAGTAAGTGAAGCTGATAAAATGTGTGTGTCTTCTGAGTTTTTATATGGAATATTCATGGTAAAATAGTAATACATCTACAAATGTAAGTTTCCTCTGGGACTATTCTGCCTCATAATGCCCTGCATGTACCCCTCCACCATTTGTAGTATAAACAAAACCTTCTCAAAACTATAACCCTGTTTCCAAAAAAGTTGGGACGCTGTGCAAAAATGTGATTAAAACAGAAATTAATGATGTGCAAATCATTTAACTTATATTTAATTGAAAATAGTAGAAAGGCAACACATCGAACATTGAAAGTACGAAATTTTATTGTTGTTGAAAAATATTTACCTATATTGAATTTTTGCTAGAATTACCCTTCTCGATGCAAAATAGCAAAGAGCTTGGGGATTTTAACACCTGCAGTACATTATATTTAAAGATTCAGAGAATCCGGAGAAATCTCTGCAAGAGACAAGGCTGAAAACCAGTACTGATTGGCTGTGATCTTCAGGCTCTCAGGAAGCATAATAAACAGTCACGATTTTGTAGTGGAAATCACTGCATGGGCTCAGAAGCACTTCTGAAAACCGCTGTCTGTGAACACAGTTCATCGCTGCATCCACAATTGCAAGTTAAAACTCTAAAACGCAAAGAAGAAACCAAATATATACAGGATCCAGAAACACTGCCACCTTCTCTGGGCCTGAGCTCATTGAAGAAGGAAAGAGATAAAGTGGACAAGTGTCCTGTGGTCAGATGAATCAAAATTTGAAATTCTTTTTGGGAATCATGGTTGCCGTTCCTCCGGACTAAAGAAGAAAGGGACCATCCGGCTTGTTATCAGCCCATAGTTCAAAAGCCAGCATCCGTGATGGTAGGGGGCACCATGCACATGGCATGGGTGACCTGCACATCTGTGAAGGCACCATTAATGCTGAATGATATATACAGGTTTTGGAGCAACACATGCTGCCATCCAGACGACGTCTTTTTCAGGGAAGGCCTTGTTTATTTCAACAAGACAATGTCAAAACACATTCTGCACGTATTACAATATCATGGCTCCATAGTAAAAGAGTCTGGGTGCTGAACCGGCCTTCATACAGTCCAGACCTGTGACCCACTGAAAACATTTAGCACATTATCAAACAAAAATATGACAAAGTAGCCCCTGAACTGTTGAGCAGCTAACAATTTATATATCAAGCAAGAATAGGAAAATATTTCACTTAAAGAACTACAGCAGTTGGTCTCCTCGGTTCTCAAATGCTTACAGAAGAGGTGATGCAACACAGAGGTAGACATGCCCCTGTCCTAACGTTTTTAAAATGTGTTGATGACATCAATGCAAAATGGCCATATATTTCCAAAAAACAATAAAATCTCTCATTTGATATGTTGGCTTTGTACTATTTTCAATTAAATATTGGGCTTAAATGATTTGCGCATCATTGCATTCTGTTTTTATTTACAACAATATCTCAGGCATCAGGCAGCATATGTATAACAATTTCATGTAATAACCATCGCGATGGAACAATAAACTCCTCAGACGTCTGGTTACTATCACCATCACTGCGAACAACTCGGACTCAGTAAGTTTCTCTTGAAGGACAAACGCACCCACAAATTTCTCTACTCGAGTATAATCAATAACACAAGCAAACAAAAGAGTTTTTTCCTTTTGAGAGATGATATTAAAAGTTGATATTTTTACTGCATGTAATGTGTTCTCCAGATGCATGACCTCTAAAAGCTTAACTGGAGTTTTTTGAGGGACTTCAGCCATGCTTACGTTACATCTGTGCGCTAACAACAGGTTTGTTGTCTGTCAGACAGTGTAGCCAAGCTCACCATCACCACCTACTTTGAGCTCTGCCTTCATGAGCTGCTGGACTGATGTAGAAATTTCACGCTCACTTTAATAAATCTGCCTTTCCACCCACATTTACCGCAAAATGTCTTTTGGTTCTTCCCTGACGTTGTTGTCATGAGATCAGCAGAGCATAACTAGATCAGTCCAAAATAAACCGTTAAGTATATGGATGCAGGGAGTGAGTATGTAGAAGTGACTGGTAATAGACCTACTACTCAAACTCACTTTGTAGACATACTGCTGCACTCACTGAACAGTCGCATTGGAACCAAGACAATTACTAGGACACGAGTCAAAGCGCTCGGTTTTATTATAGGGGGATTTACTAAGAGTTCCTGCATTATGCTGAGCCTTCTGAAGAAATCTGTGTTGTGGCACTGTGCCGTACATTGTGGCTAATGATTTCAGCTCTAGTTACACAGAAGAGTAAATAATAATTGACAAATAAGTAGCAGGCATGGATGACTGTGCTGACGTATTTCTTTTTCTAGAAAAGAACAGACATCCAGTGCACTCCCCTTTTTGTGTGAATCTTGGTTTGTGTGACAAACATTATTAGAGCTGGTTTAATTTTTTTTAGCAGAGGAGATTCTTTAATGTAATTATTTGAGATTTTATTTGAATTCATACAGGACAAAGTCCCCTAATTTGCCCAGATAGCCAGATAGCCATTTTGTCCTTTCAACAAAAATCAAACCAC